CAGGAACCTGCAACGAACTTTCGAAAGCTGAAGCACATGAACTGACAGGCGCGGCAACGACCCCCTGGAAGAAGGGAGATAGACCAGTCTACCCATTGGTTGAATGACCACACATCTGTTTGCAGGATTGCGACCAATGCTTTAATGGCTTTGACTGAAGAACCCATCCCAAAAGAACCTATGGCCCCCCCCTTCTTTGCCCGAAACAAGAACCTGATCTTCCCAACCTTCGCACCAAAAGGTGGATTTCACCGAAGGACCTTCTTCAGTTCGACCCCAACCGGGGCCAACAAAGGTGGTTTGTGACTTCTTCACTAGGACCCGGTTCCGTACGGCGCGAGTCCGCCGCGCCGTGCCTGACCGCTGTAGCCCAACGACTTGATCGCCACAAGTACCTCGGCTCCGTTCACAGCGGAGGACGCGGTCGTCGATGGTCGGCGGGAGAAGGCGTACGGAGAAAACGGGTCGAATCTCATGTGGTTTTCCCCCCTGCCAAGGGGTGGTGCATTCCCCAAAAAAAACACATGGCCCCTGAGAATGGCGCGTTGATGCTTGGAAGATTGTTTGAGTAAAACCAAAGACGTCAAACAACAACAAAAATATATTAGAATGGTCTGACGAACAGAATTTTGGGGGAAGTTCCATCAAGATCCTTTTTTACTTCACCAAGGAAAGGTACTGTATATAGTATTTTGGACTTCTAGGGTTATATACAGTTATAATCATTTATATATATATACGAGTCATTAATACATGTCGGGAAAACAACCTCTTTGTAGAGGAATGTGATAGTTTTTGCAGGGGTACCAGGCTATTGGGCTTTTTGATAAAGAACAAATTGGAGGAGGGAGTTCACTTCTGGTTGAAACAACTTGGACTATGACAAAATGCTCCATCAATCAAAACATCGTCATTTCATGAAGGGTCTCTGATTCATCTGAACAGATTTCTACATGTCAGTTTGGCCTCATTTTGCTGGAGGTGGTGATATAGAACACTATACTCAATTCAATGATCTCAACTAAATATTCAGGTCTAGGTGAAATACTCGGTCAAACAGGACCTGTAAGGATTTTTTTGCCCCCCAAAAACAAGTGCCGCAAAACTTGTTGCCCTCACTCATATCCTGCAGGATGCACAAAGCATCTGGAGAGTCATATCGGAAAGCATGGCAATAAGAAAGCCGAGAGCATGTCCTCCATAACCCGCAGTCGCATAACCTGAACGTGGACAACGTGAATTCATGCCACTGCAGTGAGGCGTTTTGAGATCCAACCAGTCGCAAACCAGCAGTTCAAGGTCCAATTCCCTACAGGTCCAGTTTGTCCCAGTACAACCAGTACAACCTCTCCCTTTACCTCCTTGTCTGAGTAGTGCTCTCGAATCACCATCTCCAGTAAAATGTCGTCAAACTGACCTGTAGGCATCGAGTTTATAGTGCAACTTTCTCTCCGCGTATCTTTCCTTTCATCCTTAGGCCTGATCCACGTCTAGATTGGTTTGCTATGAAATGCTATGAATTCTTGGAGGCACAATGGGGCCTGGACACTCATGGCTAGGGTTCTGACCCTCACAACCAGGCTTTTGGACTGGACAAACATGCAGCCGTTTCAAGATCCATAAGCCTCTGGGCGATCACGATCTAGTAAAGTTGACTTAACGTCAAACAAGATAAGGACATAATACTATAACCATCGTAGAAGAGCGTCATACCATCCGATTGCCATACCCTAGGGCTCCAACTACCTCCTGAGAAGGTGGTTGGACCATGTTAGACCCCCAAAACCCATCCCAACCACCTTCTCAGGAGGTAGGCCAGGAGCCGTAGGGATAGTGACTGCTTAACTGATTTCTCCGGGTCAAGTTGAATTCTGCGGGTCCCCGCCTATCTGATGGACCACTCGTCCGACGGAGAAGCAGGCGGTCAAGGCTAAGGCGGGCAGTGGGAAAATGACTCCCGCCAAAAGGAGGCACAAGACAAAGGCCAAGCTGTTCTCCTCAGATGCGCCGAAGGAGACCAGACTCGGTCGGAGACTCGCGCGCCGGAACTCGGATCCGGTCAACCGGAGAGAAGAAAGACTTGTTCAAGACTTGTTGTCGTTCGAGCCTTCGCCTTTACAACACGTGAAATGAAGAAAACAAGCTCCTACTTGTCCTAACCTGTCGTCATCAATTAGAATGCATTAGAGTGCTTAGGCCATACCTTCTTTGATGATAAACACCATGCACATCCTGCAGAATAAACCTGAAACTCCACAGTAATTGAGCACCACCTAACGGGCCGATTGTGTAAAGTAGGAGAGCGACGTAAATGACCAGCAGCTACTTGATGCCAATATGTTTGTGTTGTGTCCTTTGTGTCCTTCATGACGCTCATCTTGCAGCAAAGCTTCAGTAAAGTGGAAGAGTGAACGGTTAGCCCTGTTGTAGCACCCCACAGGGCCTTGAGTCTCAAGAACTACGTAAGGCGCATCCTCTTTGGCACCCAGCTGCTTGTAGATCATCATGTTTGCCCTCAGGTTCCCAGAGTTCATGCGCATGAGCATGTGCTTGTAGATCATTGGGAATTGGTTGATCCAATGGACCATCAAACCAAACAAAGCGGCCGCAGCGTACAAGTAGCCATGCTCGCCCTGCGAGGTCGTTGTGGAGACTCCCGACGGGCTATACATGGTATAGATCATCTCCTTCTCCCTACATCTCTACAGGCTCAAGGGAGAACCCAGAGTTCATAGGACTTGGGATGATGATGGTTCACTGCAGGCCTTTCTCTAGAATAGTGACGTTCTTATTCTCCGACTGTGACACCGCCCCTGTTGTTCAGAAAGCTCGAAATCTGTTCAATCGCACCTCAAAATGCTTGCCAAACCAACGAACTGAGGCATCACTACAGCACATCATCTGCAATGTGATTGAACAACTCATAAGTACTCAGCAGTCATCCGCATCTGGGAGAAAACACATGTAACGTTCAATCAGTGCCAGCCTTCACCAGATTGGCGATATTCTGTTCATACTGCTGGGTGTCCCACTTCCTCCAAATGGCCACAGCAATGGCCCCAGCAATGGCGCGCGGGAGCGCGAGGCCCAGAAAAATGATGGGCAAGAACTTCACGGACCCTGCCATCGAGTCCGCACGTCCGCGATCGAATTCGCCCTCTCGATCGAGTGGGCGAACAAGTTCGCCGCAGGTGGGCTGACTCACGAGCCGGGCATGGGTTCTGGAGAAAAAGAATTCCTCACCAGTACGTTCCATCTGTTCGTACAGTACGTGGGGCGCCCCTAATCCCCTAAAAAGGTTAAAGGTTATCCACTGACTGGGTAGCTGGGTAACCAAATCAGAGAGGGCAAAACGTGTTCCGCTACTTGCAACATGGTCGTGCAACCTCCAACACTGTCAAGCTAATCTAGCAAAACGTGTTCAAAAACGTTGATGCTCATTCTGCTTACAGAACCTGATCCAAAAGGGGTTGATGATGTGGCAGGACATTTGTACACTCCACCGGGCAATGAAAAATGGTGGCTGCGCTCAAGAGTAGATGTATTCAAAATATTCAAAGACACCTTGATGAGGGTCACAGGGTCAAATGGTCAAGGTCACCGCTAGGTCCAATGAAATTGACTGCATGCACATGCAACCAAAAGAGTTCAACACTGCAGTCATTTGGGTCTATTCAACAACCCCCTGCAAACCTCTCGACCATCCTAAGCCTTTTCGCGGTGCCGCCGCGTGCCGCGTGTCGCCTAAGGGATCCAGCTCGGGCATCTTCTCTTCGTCCGCTTTCGCCATGGTCGAAGAAACCGTCGGAGACACCACCGGGTCGTCTACTACGTCACTCAGAACTTCGTCCCCAAAACTGCGGTGTTGGCGCGAGGACCGCGAGGACCAAGGGGCGGAGGTCGGCAGTGAGTGGGGTGTGGAGGGAATCGGGAAAGTGTCGCTCACAATTAGAGATTAGCTTGGATCGTGTCGCCCTCATTCTTACATCATCATACGTCGCACGTGAGTCACATGTCGCTCGAACGGGGCCTGTCCGCTGAGGTGGGTCTCGTGTGTTTCGTGGGTCTCGCGGCGTCTCCTGAGGGCCCATGTCCAAGTTCTGAAGGAAGCCTTGGCTCAACGGAGGAGCCCAGGCTAAAGCGCTGCGGCGTCGCGCTGCGCATTGCGCAAGAGGTGCAAGGTGAGGTGGTGAGACACGACCATGGACCACACAGATCCACATGGAAGTGGACTCATGATACTACTCATGATACTCATGCTTGACTGGGAGTCGACTTCTGATTGTCCTGCTCCCCACTGGTGCTTCTTTAGGCATTCCGAGTCCATGGGGTTGGATCGGATTGCAGGTGCCATCAGTTGACATCGGCAAGGAGAGGGAAAATAGGGTTAACTACACTTGCCCCAAATCATCCATCCATGCCAAAGGTTCCAAAGCTTCCAAAGCTTCCAACCAGAATCAAGTTGCAAAGATTGTAACTCTTCCAAACAGAATCCTCAAAAAGTGTTTGCTCTGCATTTTGATTGGTTATGTCACGTCCTTCCATGTCCTTCCTATAGGCTGCATAGAGCCAAGGGAGGTGGCCCCTCATGGCCAGGTTTCTTGGAAAATCTCGGAAGGCACTCTTTGGGACATTCCAATTCGACCAGCTCCTTAGAACCGACCTGTGGCCGGAAAGATACAACCAATGTAATATATAAAGGAACACAATCATATGGCCGGAAATGATACACCCTAGGGCTCCAAGTACCTCTTCAGAAGGTGTTTGGACCCTCCAAACCCACCCCAAACACCTTCTGTCTCAGAAGGTACTTGGAGCCCTAGGGACAATGATGAAAAAACAATATTGATTAAACAAAAACGACCCAGACCCTTGCTGCCTGTGACTGTTCGATCCAACTAAGCCCGGTTGCACCAATCCTCCCCGGTGGCTTGGTCTTTGATGACCTGAGACTGCCAGGATGGAGCAGCTGAAGCGCTGAAGGGCTCTGTTTGGCCACTGATTTAAGTCACAGGTTCGCAGGACGTGACATCATGACGTGGCATCATGACCTGACACTTGACGATGCAATACCCAGAAGGCAAAAAACATCACCGAAAACTACAGTTGCAACATGCCCATCAGCGTGCCATCCTGTAGCTATATTCCTGTAGGTGCCTTGACCGTTTTCCCTCTGCGTTCCGTTCCCCAGCACCTCCTGCGTCCAGCACCTCGGACTTGGCGACCCCCACGCAGTGCCGATGCGCAAAGGTTCCACGTTGCACGTCTTGCCCCGTGATGCCTTGGATCGACGGCGATCGCCGCGGCGACCAGCTCCCAAGGGATCAGCGATGGCGGCGATGGCCGCGATGGCGTCGACTTGGGTGGTTTCGGCCACCGATCAACCTAATCGACACTACCTGTTTGGGACTGCCTGCCAGGACTGCCGACCCATTGATCCCCCTGGCACCACCCCAACTGATCGGCATATATGGCAGTCCCATGGAGTGTCTGGGTATATAAGAAGACCTCCCGGAAATCCTCTGGAGGGGTCTGGGGTCTCAAATAGATTCACCTGAGCTTTTGCCAAATATATGACACGAGTGCACCCATGAAAAAAAGAACACTTGGCAAAGTGATGTTCGATGGGCCCAGTTGGACAGCGTCAATTGCTGGTACTCCTGTTGGCTACAAGCAACCACCTGGAATCCGCATGCCAATCACCTGGAATTCGCGTGCCGAGGTTGGTCCTTGACATGACAGGTCAAATACTAGCATGATGCTGAAGCCGATTCCGCCGGGCCACCGGCAACTGAACCTTCTTTCCATCCCAAATCATCCCAACTCCCTCAACCAGCCTTAACTCAAACAGTTGCCCCTCTGCCTTCTTTTGAATTTGCTTAAGGAGCCTGGAAAGAATCAACAACAATACATAAAAATACACTGGCGCAGGGGATTTACCTAGCAAACACCAGGTTCTTCAACCGCCTCAGGCTGTTTCGCTCCATCATCCGGCGAGAGCCGGAAAGGACACCGCCGTTTCGCTCCCAGCTCCCCCACGGCTCACATCATCAGCTCTTTTTCGCCACACACCGACACCGTCGGGCGCTCCAACGCCTGTGGCAGCAGGGCTCGGGCCTCTCGGCTGAAGCGTGGCATTTCCAACTCAGCCACCTGGCGTTGGTGTTTGGGGCATTTGGATGAGAACGTATGAGAACAAAGACATGAGCCAAACCGCTTCGGAATAGGACAGTTGTTCAAGGTTTTTATGTTATGATCAGCAATGTTCTGGTGAAGAAATTGGACACCTCATCGAATCATTGTTTGCGTGAACTTCTGTCGCCTCCATCGCTAAACGATGTCCATCTCCTTAATTCTAGTGATCCTTCTTGGTTCTTGACATTCACCCTATCCCCCAAACACTCCAATATGTCTACATTGACCACTGAACCCACCCCTGGCCGTTTCTCGGCAGTCCTATGGCAGTCCCATGGAGTCTGGGCCCCACCTCGCGATCCTCCCAGCGATCCACCGGATCCGCCTCATCTTGAGATCCACCGGATTCGCTCCACCCAGCCCCCGCCTCCCGGCCATTGGTCCCAACGACTCGCCCTCGCAAGTGGCTCGAGCGCCGTTGCAGCTCCGCCAGGGCCTCCGGCAGCGGCCGCCGCGGAAAGGGGTCCGGCGGCGCGGTGAGGACACTGACGGAGATCCAGTCCTGACCGTGGTGGACTTGTAGAGACTGGAAGGTGTGAATGTGTGAAAACCGAGGCGTTTGGAAGATTGAAGATACACCGTTTTTGCTCACACTCAGTCTGCTTAATGAATGTCCTTGCATGCTGCTCATATGCCTCCCTCAGGGGTCCACCAACTTCCATCCTTTCTAGTCATATCCACATTTAGCAAATGCATGCCAATTCCAAAATCAAAGAAACACCACAACATTCTCTCCAAACCGACTTCCTCTGAACATGTTTCGAAAAGAACGGGGTCTCCTCCGACTTGTCCACCACCTCTTCCACTTGGATGATCTGCGAGGTGTACCGACTTGCTGTGTTCGCTTGACCTCGAGGATTCGCTGGGAGCTGAATTTTTGTTGGGCTTCTGATGCTTCTGAGCTAGTGCTGCTTCTTTGGAGGAGTAAGGCATTGATCCAAGCTACGTCCCTTGCAAGCCCTGCAAATGCTCAATGAACATCAAGCTGACTGAGCTCGCAGCCCCGCCCAGTGCGCCACAGAAAGCCCGCCGCTCCGGTGGACAGGACGTTGTCGGCCACCAGGACGCTACCAGCCTTCAGCAGCTGCAAACGTTCTAGAAGGTCGACATCCTCTTCCTTACAGCGCAAGAACGCAAGGCTCGCGGCTTGGAATCAAACCAAGTGACCAAAATCCTCTGAAACGGATCATCCTGAAAGTCTCCCTGGCTGCTACCGAAGTCCAGCCAGGACGGGTGAAAACCGGATGATGGGCCATTGAGGACGCCAAGAATGAACACCTCCCAACAACTGCCAGGAGCCTGAGCTACTGTAACCTCCCATGATGTCCGGGCTGGACCTCAATGCCTTTCATCGCTTTTCTTCACAGGCTCTTGATGGCTCTTGGCATGTGTTCACGCCCGCACCAGGCTCAACCGTTGGGACACACTGGGCCGCATCATCGACCCGCAGGACAGCCAGTCTCACCTATGTGGATCCTAGGGGGCCATATCAGCAACCAAATGCCTAGGATGGTGGGTCTTCGCCCTTGGAACCAGTGGATTTTCACCGTCCTATATGGGTCGGCAGTCTGGAAGTCCCATATGGAGCGCCTCTGGGACCTGGACCTGGATGTCTGTCAGCCGCTGCGAGCCGCTCCCTACCGAGCCCCAGCGGCATACTCCGAGCCCCAACGGTCCATGAGCACCGCGGCGAAGCGGCGCGCGCCCAGGCGCGGGAGCACGGCACGGCTGTGGCCTGGTGGTGAGGCGACCGCGAGGCACGAGCGAAGAGACCCACATGGAGGACTTAGTCGTCCAGCTGTCAATTCTCAGGGTGTAAAGAGTGGTGTAAAGGTATATGTAACAATGCCAGGGAATTGTGGAGCTGGTGAGAAGGAGTTGATCGGCAAAATGGTTTTCAGCTTCTAAGAAGAGTTTTCCAGTTGCTCTGGGGTTCTCATCCATTCTTTGTTCTCAACGCATCAAAAAAGCGAAGCATGGCTCCAGTAAAGCGAATTCTCAGCTTAGAGCAGTCAAGCATCATATCCCATACCACCCATATATCCTAGGGCTCCAAGTACCTTCTGAGAAGGTGTTTGGGGTGGGTTTGGAGGGTCCAAACACCTTCTGAGGAGGTACTTGGAGCCCTAGGGATATATAGTCTATTGCACATTCACCTCCATTGCGTTGGTTGATGTACAGTAAATATATTCAAGTCCCACGTCCCACGGAGTGTCTGTACTGAACCCTAACCATTGTCATCCATGCAATCCATCATCCGCCGGTCGGTCAATCCCATACTACTCCCTATAGGGCTCCAACTACCTCCTGAGAAGGTGGTTGGGGTGGGTGCCAGGGGGGTCTAACCACCGAACCTGAGGATATGGGCCAGGAGCCCTAGGGACTATCATACTATCTGCATCTCTCCCTTCCCCTGGGTTTCCATGCCTGTCAACACTTGGACGTCCACACCGGCAAAGGCGAACCTCATGGGGAAAGAGTGGCCGCGGAATCTCCCCCCAAGGCTCTGAAGGCTCGGTGCAAACGACGTGGATACCAACAGGTGACTGGAAGCCACTTCTACTGTACTGAATGATCCATTCTTGAGCCCTTGGTGGGCTTGGTGCCTCATGAAGAGGTTTTGCAGCTTGAGTCGTCTTAAGCCTTAAGCATGTTGATGATTTTTGAGGTATACGTATGATCATGGTCGGTCATGCTTCTCGCTACCCGCAGATTCGCCGCTTCATCACGCAGTCTCAGCCATCGTCGCGAAAGTGCTCACAGCATCTTCCAGGGTCCCCTAACCAGAACTACTGCAGAAATTGCCGTGTATATAGAACTCAAACCGCCAACCATTGGCCTCACACCGCCAGACCCAACTCCCACGCACGAGCTGCCCCAGCCGAGCTGCAAGACCCGTGCTACGGCCACGTGTACCGGATCCAGTTCCACCGTGGTCACCGTGGCGCCGAATCCGCGCGGCGAAGAGGTGCCGGTGCCCGCGCGCAGCGCGTGCGCCAAGCGGAGGGAAGAGGTGCCCCAGTAGGTGCCGATTTCGAAGACACCGTGGTGCCTGGGGTGAAGAAAAGCTTCGGAAAGATGTCTGACCATATCATTTTTTTCTTGAACATGGAAAGAACATACTGGGATTCACTGTGGACGAAATTCAAGCTGGAGGGAAATTCAAGCTGCCAACAGGACAGGACATGGACTAAGTATAGGTCCTCCCAAATTCCTCGACCAATCTCGGACCTGGAGGATTCATGGCAGCCATCGTCTGCTTTGCGCCAGGGCCATACCATGGTTTCATACTCATTTTCAGACCTCGTATACTGGTTCTGAACAACCCTGTCACCTGGTGATGCTTTTCAAAGACCTGCGCCGACCCCTGTCGCCACGGCCACATTCAGTTGAGACACCCACCAGCTGGCAATCCACCACCTGAGGACAACAGACAGCGGTCGAGCCGCTTCCGCAGAGTGACCTGGTCGGTCTGAAAAAATGGAGTGAATATGGTGCAAAAACCAGGAGTAATTAATCTTTTTTGAAGGGCCACAGGTTGTCTGATGCATTTGGATCCCCAAGGAGCCCGACAAAAGTGGCAGGCCGTGCTCCCAGCATGCCAGTTCCACAACATCTTTGAGCGACGCTGATGGTAGTCGTTGTTTTGGAGGGAATCTGTCTCTCTCTCTCTCTCTATAAATCACGTGAATCCCATCCCAGCACTGCTGGGAAAAAAGAACGCAACACCGCAAACCAACCCACAAGCGGAAAAACACATCCTATAATTGCCTGCAATGGGACAGTTTACCTCCGCTTTTCACCCAACCCAACTGATGGGTAAATATGCCAATAGCATGGTTTGTGTGGGGCGGTGCTCAACACTTTGGGTCGCTGAAAACCCGAACCCGACGAGGCGCAAACCGCGCTCTGCAGGGTGGCGCCCTTCAAGCCGCCGGCGAACTTTGCCCAGCCCAGGTTCTGCGCGACTGAAAAAGGAAATGCGTTTGTTGTCTTAGATAGATGCATGTCTCAACGTATCTGGGAAAATGGGTGCAAGTACTTGTGTTACACGGTAGCATTCACTTTGTGCCTAAAGGTCGACCTGCGTATGTCGGGGTGAAAGCCTGTGGATGAAAACTTCACTGTGTTTTTTTTTAAATGGGGATGCTAGAAAAACCCCTGGGGTCTAGATACCAAAACCACCAAAACCGAGACAAACTTCATGTCCCAGAACTTCATTGTTTATCACCTATGCATGTCCGCTTTTCAGGGTTCTTTGGAGGGTCCCGACGAGGCTCATGCGGTGTCTCGCGATGTGACCGCATGGTCCGCGTGGGACCGCATGGTACGGCATACGCCTGCGACCGCATGGTCCGCATGGTATGACTAACCAACATGTTATAAACACATATTTATGCATACATGCACTATCACATCTCGACAGCTACTGTCGAGATATGTCGAGATTGATATCCATAAATCTCCGAAACGGCAGCTGCCGTCGGTCGGTTTCCATCCGCACTTCGCTGTGCAGCGCGTCCTCCTGTCCAAACTCATCGAGTGCTATGAGGATGCCGTCCACATCGAGGGGTGCCACCTGTGACCAACGTCGCTAGTGCGAACCACGCGGGGGACTAAGATCCGCAACTTTCTTTCAAAGGTTCAAGGAACAGGAGGGGAAGTTCGGATTTTTATGTTCGCCGCACAGATGCTCAAGGAGCAGGATTGAAACTCTAGCTCCAACACGTTCTCAGCAAATTGGGCACAAAGATCAGAGAGATCTCAATGAATAAACCCAATCATGGCAAAGTCAAACCAAATTAATTACATTCTAACGAAGTTGGATCTTGTGCCACCTACTTGGAGGCTGGAATGTTCCACCTCCACATTACAAGACATCAAGCAGTGCAAAAGCCATCAAAAGCCCCATCTCTGCCTTGCAAAGGATGTGTTTCAGCATGGCAGCAGCTTGATGGTATGGCCGCACACTCGGCTCACTGTCAGCAATCTCTCGTAGCAGCGCTGCATTTCGCAGCCCACCCTGTGGGCTTCGCAGGGAACACGAAACAGAAGCCTGCATTATGCAAGTCTTCCTATAATTATGATTCTGCGCTGGAAGAATCTGCGCTGGAAGAAGTCGTGTGTCATGAGTGCAACAAAATTATCATAATCGTCCAACATTCAGCATTGCATCCAGGAATCAAGTAAACACAACATGACCTCACATTCAGACCAGGTCAAAGAGCACACAAGGTTTTGAAGAGTTGGGTGGCAACTTTGCATTGCTCAACCAAACTTGGAAAAAACATAGCTGACAAATAACACAAACACAACAGTACGCCATGTAAAATATGCTATAGGAGACAATGCCTGAAGAAGCCAAACAAAACCAAGAAACAACAGCAAGGCCCCACGATTTATATATGTGTCGAAACTTGTTTCAAACTCTTCAGTCACTCACCTTCACCGTGGCGGCGGCAAACCGCCGCAGCCAGGCCGAACACCGCACCGCCCCACGCGCGCCGGGCGCGAGGTCCATGGCCAAGCGCCGCAGGACGCCGCGCTCGGCCCACGCGGCGGAGTGCCTGGCCACGCGGTCGCGGTCGCGGTCGCGAAAGCGGTTGTTCGGTCGCCACCCCGGCGGGCTCGGGTGTCTAAGCATTTGGCTGTTCATTGAGCAAAAATGGCTCAACCCTGTTGCAGTGCACGAGGACTGATTGTTAACCTGCTGAGCAGCCTCTATATCCTCTACATCCCAAATTTATTTTGCAGTGGTCTTTGTGGAAAAACGGTTGATCAACGACAAAAGCGTGAACCATCACACTGGATGCACCGGCTGTCACGTGTTCTTTCAAACGCTGCTGTGGCGAAGGTATGCGGGGTGGAACACGGTGGAAACTATGGTGGAAATGCGTTTTGCTCGATTCTTTCAAATCTGAAAAGAAAAACAAAAAACAGAAAACCTCTGCCAAACTGGGTACGTAGGGTCAACCACCACACTAGAATTGGAACTTGGCCCGCCAACTTGCGGTCCCTCTCTGACAAGGCGATGTGCCAACTCACAAACATAGGGCTCCAGGGGCAAATGGCGTGAAATCGACCGATACCCCTGGACCAACATTACACCGAACACACGGATCGTCCTTAACCGACTGACTGGGCCGCCACGGACAGGGGATTGATCCTGACCCATACTGCTCAAGGACCCCCAGGCCTCTCACATTCCATCAAGGCAGTGCCCATGACAGTGCTTCGGTCCACTGCGCTCAAGGAGTGGAAGAGATCGCTGTCAGCCAAGAGCAGCACCTGGAACTTGGAACCCCCCCATTGGTTCTAGAGGAACATGGTCTTCCAAGGGTCCATGTTCCAACTCTATGTTAGTTCCAGGCAGTGCATATCCAAGTGGAGCGCAGAACAGCAGCATAGGCATCAAGCAACATAGACACAACCACAGCAGAATGATAATTCATTGTATATTCATCTACGCTGACCCCACAACCCCAAACGCTCCATGTAAGTTGCATATTTACCAACCTTGAGGTGCTTTGATGCATAAAATAACTATGCCACTCCCATCGGCCGTGCCTGGGAAATCGAATCAACATACCTCAAAAGGCCATGAATGTGTGCTTCCTTGTGCCCCAAATGACTGTCACTGATTCACTCTCTTCGATTCGATCCACCCGCACTGCTCCAACCTCCTCCCATCGACCCGCACTGCTGCAAACCGCCATGGCCGCGGCAGCGCTGTTGGTGGCGTCCAAGCGTTCGGAGGACATGGACTGCAAAAGCTGTAGAGCACACGCCTGTCTGGGCAAACAGGCAGACAATGCTTCTCCACACAAAATCAAACAAGAACACATCCCAGGAGTCACAAAGGGGTGCCTATTGGAGGTTAGGGGTGCCCAGCTACTCCACTCACTTAGGAACTAAACACCAACCCCTTTGTCTCCTGGTCAACAAACTTTGGTATACTTGGATTGGCTTGAGGAACTGGGAATATGTCCCCAGAAGGGGGTTCACCTATCAGGGAAAATCCACAATCACCTTATAAGCAAACGACAGCGGGGAGCTGTTGACGATGCACACCAAATGCAATTTGTTCACCTGCTCAACTGTCCGAGTCCAAGGTGCCCACTGCCCAGAAGCTTCGCAGCTGCGAATCGCTGCGCCATATCCTGAGGATGTTGGCGTCCGTCCACCAAATGGTGCAAACGATCGCAAATGGATGGTTGAGTGGGGATCACAGGCATCCAGTATAAGCTGCAAAAGGATTTGTTTCAGGTTTGGCCGTCGCAGCTCATTTCATTAATGGTGGCCTTGTCTTCACGTCCCATCAAGTTCATGAAGTAAAACGTCCTACTCTCTCTCTCTCTCTCCCCCCTTTTTGGTGCATGCTGTGAGTCTGAGTCAGAATCCAAGCTTGCATCAGAGCCATCATTGCTAGATCGAAACGAAATGTAGACTGTTAATATATAAAACCGCCCTACCAGAATGGCTTTACTTCTCCAGAGTTGGGGGGTTTTATGGTTTGTATGAATGACATTGGGACTGACATCCGGGGATGATTAAGGTTTTCTTCTAGATCAATGGGGTACAATCCCCTAAAGTGGACAAAACCATGCCGGAAATAGAATTAAAGGGCATAACCTAGGAGGGTCGGCCCCGTAGCCTTGGCAGATTTTGTTGGATGCTCATCTATCCCTAGGGTTCCAACCATATCCGAAGAGGGTCAAACTAACCCCCAAACCCACCATAACCATCTTCTCAGGAGGTAGTTGGAGCCCTGGGGTATGATGGGTTGTGGTTCATGCTCTTCCGCGCCTGCTTCACTCGCTTGCACGGCAGCTTCGCGCGCCAATGCCAGCAGCTTCAATGCAGCTTCCCACGCATCGCACAGTGCGATGACAGCGCCTGGATGCGGCAGCACCCAGTACAAAGGTGTGTCGGGTCTGAGTCTGAGACTGGTATGTATAAGGGATCAAACTAAATAGCCCAAACGCTCCATGTATGCCATATGATTATGCCTACATTGCGTCTGGGTAGTATTATACATACATGGCGTCAAAACTAATGTGCATGAAATATATGGTGAACGGACATGTCGCATCTTATCGCACCATGCTTCACCTTTCTAAACGCCGCAGGCCGCACAGCGGAGGGCCGTTCTGAGCGCCCCAACTGAAGCAAATCTCGTTCGGCTGGAGGACCTGCGAAGCCATGCTGCCCAAAGATCTGCTGAGGCCACAAGAACAATCAGAGGGAGAAGCACCGCATGGTCCAAACAAAAGCTAGGTGATCATTCCATGTCCTGATGAAACAATACTCTAACTAATTGGGATATAGAGGCTGTTAGGAGCTGACTTGAGAACTATGTAACTCAAATGAAGGAGTTTCTACTGCGTGAAGCGTCTTGGGGTCCCAAATTATCAAACATCTCTTCTATGAACAACATGCCGCACGCCACCTGTTTCTTTGTGTGCCATTGTGTGTCTCTCTGGCCTTTCCAGTCAGCAAACCCCTACGTGCAACATCCGAATGAAGCATCCAGCTCTAACCAGCGATGGGAGTAAGCCAGGCTTAGACATCTCTGAATCCTGGATGAGATCAATGAACATTTATATAACAGTAACAGCGCTTGGATGATCCTGTATTCAAACATCCGCATGGAAAAAGAAACACCAATCCGCTGCTCAACATGTACAACATCAAACATGCAACAAATCACAGTTTTCATCTGTCTTCCCTTTGGTTGTTGAAAGGCTCTCACCTCAATCAAACAAAACATAGTTCACCAAGAGTGTATGTTTCTGCGTAACCATCGATCGTGAAGCTCATCGTGTAGAGCCACTTGGTGGGAAGAAGATCTGAGTCTGAGTGTGTATTGAAATAGAACGACCGACCGACCGCGTTTGTCTCGGAAACATTACATTTTACTATTAAGGGGGAATTGATGGGGACCCGGCGAGTTGTGCATGAGTTCTCCCTATTCCAACAGCACAAAAAGCGCCTCGCTGGTCATCTGCTCCAGCATCTCCAGGGCTTCTGGCCAAGTTGGGCAAGCGCAAAGGGCCTAAGCATGAGCCAAGTTGGGAATGATGCTGGGGGATCAACCAATGGGCTACTGGAGGTCTGATCAACCACACTCAGAGATGGACATTGGCTTCAACAAAAACAATCAAACATAATCAAACCTTGGGACTCCTTGGGGTATATCCCAATCCCTGTAACAAGTCTTTCTCACAAAAATGATAAATCGTTCATCAACTATCACCAGATGTTGCAGGTCATGGGACCACTTCAGCCTGGATCCTCCAAGATGTCCAGGCCCATTCCGCTGCATCCGGGAAGTCCCAGCACTTGGCCCATTGCACTTGGCCTGTTGCAATCATGAACCGTTGAAAGGGTGAATCATCGTGATGTTTCATGAACCCTAGGGCTCCTGGCCCATATCCTCAGAAAATGGTTAGACCCCCCTGGCACCCACCCCAACCACCTTCTCAGGAGGTAGGCCAGGAGCCCTAAGGGGAATTGTGAAGCCTATCCGCCTTTGGACGGTGCAATGACTCGCCATCGGGGTTCATTCATCCATCGTCTCTCCATATGGGTGGGCAATCAATGCCACACGCCATATATGGGTCGGCTCAGCTTCTAGTCCCATAGAATGTTTCCCAGTGTCCTTCAGTTTACTGTGATTTGCTAGGGAAAAGCCAAGTTTTTTAATGGTTGCCACTGGTCAGGGTTCATTCCGCCTGACTCACCCTTCACGATGCCCCATCCAGGTGGCCGCTCCGTGGCAGACGACGTCGCGCTGCAACTGCAGCGCGGGCATCTCAGCGAAGAGCTGCAATGCAATGGGCCGATGCTCACCCCTCCTCAGCGATGAACCATTCGGCCAAGCAAGGAAGGATATCATTTTAAACCCATCCAAGAAAGTGGAACACGACTGGATGCTAAGAAACACATGCAATTGAGGTCATCAACTGTTATAGGCTTGATCTTCCAGGTGAGAGGATGCTCTTGCTACAGGGATCAGATCCAAATAACCTTCCGTGTCCTTCCCTACTTGTCTATTTTGTCTCCACTCGCCCAACTGCTCACCCAGCATGCTGTGGCCAGGGCCGAAGCCCATTTGATGGGGCCAGGGGCGGCCAGGGGCGGCCAGGGGTCGTAGCTGCAGTGATGGCCGCGGAGCATGCAACTGTGGAGGGTCGGGACTTGGCCAAAGACAAGGCCAATTGCCACTGGGAGGCCTGCGGCACGAGCCCGGGCGTGCGTGCGGGTTTCTGAGGAAAGACCTGACGAGTCATCTGCCTGATGGTCCTTACGCCCCCCTGGCCAGCTAATAAGCTACTAAGAATGAACATGTGCAAGAACCACACAAACTATATGAGATAAGATATTGCCTTGCCACTGAAGAGAGCCAGGCTAAACCCCCGAAATCGAAATCCTTGCTAGTCACAGCAAGTGGAATGTGCATGAATTGACTAAACCATAGTCACACAGTGTTTTGCAAGATCATTACCACATGCTTAACACTACCAAAACAGGTTCCTAATTCCCAACTCAACAAAGACCTGTGAGTGTGAGCCTAGGGCTTTGTATCCTCTGATCTTGATCCTGCATCCATCCGACGGAGGAACTCCCGCACACCCCGTGACCCGCCTCTGCGCAAGCGCTAGTCACAGAATGGCAACTCAAGTGGTCAGATCGGATGCTCTGCCTCCGAGCGAGCTCGGATACAGAGCTGGTGAACCGAGGGATGGCGGGACAAAATCGATGGAACAGAACGAGCTCTGCTAGGGATGATATCAGTAATATTAATTGTATAATATTAGACATAAGGTGGATGGAAAGGCAAACATTTTGCACAGTTAGAAGGTCCAGGTAACTCGAAACAGAATGAACTGTGGCATCCCTTCATTGCAACAGGCCGTCGAATGACACCATCTTTGGCCCAAAAACTGACGAGCCTCGTCCCATGTCACGATCGATGCCGTGAAGAAACGACGTGAAGAAATCGATCCCCCAGGGTTTTGAGCAGACGAACTCCACCTCCCTAGGCTTCCGACCACCAGTAAATAATTCGGCTTTACCGAATCAACTAAGGATTTTACACTACAAACACCAGGTCAACCCTTTGTAAACTGGTCTTGGAAGTCCAGGGACCTGTTCTTAGTTGAGTGGAGAAACCAATTCCAAACAGAACATCGCGTGGATTTCCTGGATCGGTATGGATCTGAGATCCCCCCAAACCCATGAGTCGTCGGTTGAATTTCGGCATGCAGCTGGCACTCGGTCTTCACGATCCCATTTGGCACATGTATCAAGTATCGGTTACGTAACCCTGGGCTTCCAACCATTAATTTTAATATAGCCTTAATTTATGATTTAATGGCCTATGTCAATGAAAGAACCATCCTTGTACCAAGGATTGTACACGCCAAAACTAGGTCAACCTGGTCAACCCCTTTTGGATGGTCAAACGGAGGGCGAACGTACGTAAGAACTGGATGGTCAACGACTCCATCGCGACCGACTCCTGGATCGACCAGAGTGACCAGAGGTCGAAGACATGATCCCAAACCAGGCCGCTAGGACCGCCAAGATGTTAGCTGACTAAATTGACCGTGACCAAATGCCAAGAGGTGGGTTCTGCTTCAGCACGATTATTTTTCGAATGGTTTCTTAGGGCTCGAGATAGCTTGGCATCGTACTAGGATCCACTCGGCAACTGCCCTTGGCATACGCAAATGGATGGAATGGTGTCTTTCTTTTTGTTGGGGGGGTCGGGATGTGTTGGGTCACAAGAAAACATTCAAAACGGTCGCTGTGCTGCCTGGGCATGGCACGAAAGAGGCCTAAGGCCTGCTCCCACTGGCCAGCTTTGTCGCAGGCCATGATGGCCGCGTTGTAAGCTGAGATCGCGGGTCGAATCATCTCCTCTGGATCGGGAGACATTGATATCTTGGGTCTATCCTATTACCAGTATATAATGATGGTGCTTAGTATATAGGGATGATGTCTAGAAAAGGCCATGTTCAAACATCGTGATGTTCTGACTTGCTTACCGACTGTTACAGTACAGGTAATAAGACAGACCCAAGATATCCATTTGCTGTGTCTATGGGTCTTTGTTGCAAGACTTCCACTGGGTTTCGTTGCCCACCGTGAAGCCATGTGAAGCCTGTGGGGCTCGGATTGGCTGCTGAAATTAAGGCACCTCCGGGCCATTGCAACTCCGGCCCTGCAAGATTGGGACAAAGCCTGGGAACTCAAACCTGAGCACCGCATGGTTGATAGATGTTGGCAGATTGGTCGACATCGCCGCCAGAGGTTTGTTCTTACTGATCCGTACTATCATTGTGTACTTTTTCAAAACACCCTTTCCTCAACACGCATGAGTACAATTGACCAACGCATCCAAAGACTCCAAGGGGCTTATGGATGCTTATGGCCTATGAGCAACTTGGATGTCACCAACCTCTCACGGACGCCACTCAAGCCCTTGCAACCCCTACCAGTATCAGCCACGATCTCAATGATCAGCTGCCCTTGCTACACCGCTCAAGCAGTAGCGGCTCTCCTTCATGAGCTGCAAGGCCTCCCTCCACTGACTCGCTGTGGCACAAGCAGAGATGACTGACGTGATGGTGTAGACATCGACCGACAAAGAGAGTCTTCCACGCCTCATCGGCAAGAGAGTCGATTCTGACCATCCGGCCAGGAAAACACTATGGCCCTTGAATTTCACATCCCACCTGGCCTGGTGGAAACAAAAGGAAACAACAAACATTTAGAGATTCAGCTTGCCTCTTCTCTTCCTTTCAGGGCATCCCACATCATCCGTCACCTTAAGACCTCACCCGCGGTTTCACGCGGTTTCAGTCCCAGCTGCGCGAGGTCAAACAGCATCAGTGCCTTTGTCCACTCACCTCATGTGCTCACTTGCCAAGTGAAGGAGCGAATCCAAGCTTAAGGCCACTCCCCCCAAAATTCACGTCCTGTTTTCATATAAATGCTTTTTTGGGGGCCACCCGTTCATGGGAAATTTGTGCAAGTGGCTATGTGAGGCTCTAATTACATGTATATATCCCAGACGCTCCGTGAACGACGCCCGACTGGTCCCGAACCAACCCATAGGGATTGGTTCGGGTCACCCCTCCAAAGGATTTGGGGTCGCTATTGAACGCAGGGTCCGGGGTCGCGTCTGGGATATATATTTAGGCCCTTGAGTCGCGTAGTTCATATTGGTTAATATTATTCATACCAGGACACCCTAAAGGGTGTCTATTGATAGCCCCTTGGAGGTTAAGGGGTGTCCATTAACCATCCCTTGTGGGTCCTAGTATTGGTTCAATTTAGGAGGGGTTTGATATGCTGAAGGAACTGCGCCTGGTGGGTAGAGCTAGCATGCCAGGTGCTACATCTCACGAACATCACGAATCAAACGAATCAGCAGCTCCACTGAGAACATGTTGAACTAAAAAACCCCCCGACAAAGCTCTCAAAAGGGCTAGGTACCAAAACCCAACACATGCACAAAAGGACACCCAAGCCGAAAGCCGATGATGTGCTGTTCTTTTTGCCTAGGGCTGCAACTAGATCCTAAGAAATGGTCGAGAGGCCTAACATGGCCTAACAAATCCAACTAAATGCTTTGCAGAACCTCTTCCGTTTTGTCGCAACCTTGGCCGTGATTGGGATTGGCCTCCGGCCTCCACGTGCAAAGGCGCTCATCAAGGTGTTGAGGCTCACGGTGTCCGATGCAGGCCTTGATGGATGTGGGTCGAAAGCAGGCCGCGCTTTCGCGCAACCTGCTTACGGAGCGAAGGGTGAAGGGTTGGCAAAACGGAGCCTTCACCTGAATACACCTGGAAGGGTTTATATATCCCTAACAATCCTTGGACCCTCCTTAGAAGCGGTCGATCCCTCTAGTTCACAAGGGTTCAGGGCCCCTCAAAACCCATGTTGTTGAGGGTGCCGATCCTTAGGGTTACTAGTGCAAGTATGATCAGTCTATTCAATGTTTCATACACGTGATGCCCATCGGCTTCTGCGGGATGCCCATCGGCTTCTTCTCCACTGGCCATGCAGGGCACAGGTTTGGACCGTGACCACTTGGTCCGTCTGAAACAAACGAACCTCGCACTCAGTGCCCCGGCATGGCATAGAAGAGTGCCAAGGCATCTTCCCAACGCTTGGCCTGGGAGACCAGCGGCTAGATGCAATTGATCAATCCAAATCGATGATTTTTAAAAAATTGGTCAGTACAACCTTCTGTTCGACTGGGCATGTCAATCCAACCTTCAAGAAACCTTCATGTGAAACATGCTGAAACACCTTCCAGCCCAAACCATGCGATGGCGTAAACTGGGTCAGAGCGGAACATGTAGGCCATGTTTGCATGCGTGGAGCGTTTTGGGGTATGTTTCAGTCAATATACTACTTCATATTGCTTCTACACTCCGACTCACTAACATGGAAATGGAAGGCGGGCCCTTGGAAGACCATGTTCCTTTACACACAGGTGGTGAACTCCACTTCCATGTTAGTGAGTTGGAGTGGCCAGTGTGAGGTGGGGTCCCCACCCCCACCTCTCCCTGTAGCATTCGTAACCGACTGGAGGGTGTGTTTAAGTGGACTTCTCCTGGCATTCGTAACCCTGAAACAGGTTAGCCACATGATGGAAGCTTTCGATGTGGAGGAAAATAGCGTTAACATGCGTTAACCTTGAGAAGATTGAGAAGGGTGGATGTCCTCTGGGAAAAAAATCCAAGCACGCGCTTTGACGTTGGGCAAGGTCTTGGAAGGACCTGTATCACCCTGTCCAGATTCAGGAAGCTCATCCGCACAACGATCAGTTATCTGTCAGCAAGCGGTTTCTCAAGGTTTCTCAAGCAAACCTCCCTGAGGCCGGCCTTCCCGCAGGCGCTCATCGCGGTGTTAAAGCTCACAGTGTCTGGTTTCGGCATCCTGGCCGGAGGGGCCGGCCTAAACCGCTTTTCATGGGCCAACCCAAATGCTGGAGGGGGCGGACCTATGGGTCCCCACATACCATCTCAGGTTCGGTACGACTGGACCCTCCGAGCCTACACATAACTAACCTCCAATCACCCTCTCAGGTTCGGTATGTGGATCTCTCTCTCTCTCTCGGCAGCATCTGGCTACAGCGCAAGCGTTTGACAGGGACACGCATGCACGCATGTGGATCCATAGGACATTGAGATTTTGAAAAGGAGTGACTGTAGGTCAATACTCCAGTTTAGTTCACAGGTCATGTCTGGGTGGGGGGAATCTGCGAAGCTGGGGCGTTGAAAATGATGGCATCTTCCAGATGTGCCAAGGGGGTTCTGGGGGAGAGAGCGTTCCTCCGTGAAACGATGGCGTTAGTAGAGGAAAGAACCTTCTTCAATTCGTGGCCAGAACGTCCACTTCCATATTTGTTGCCCTAGTACATCCAGTCGTACCTTGTCAGGTACGGTGAGAAGACACACTTCGTCCTGTCTATGTGGGTGCCAGGAGGGTTGGTGCCAGGAGCCTTCGATTTTGGTTCCTTGTTTTTCTTCTCACAGCTTGGAACATCCGTTCGTCATGCGGCTTCCACATCACGGGGGCGGGCGTGGCAGCACGGTCTCCTTTCTGCATGGGGGCTGCGGGGACGCAGCATCCATTCGGGACGAACATGCATGTTATACAGATGTCACTTGCCAGGCTCCTTGGAGTTTAGTGCTGCTACTACTACTGCTACTACTACTGCTATATAAATATATATATATATATCTCCCTTCCTCTTTCAAGGGAAAACATGGGGAAAACCCATACGACGGGAACATGGTGACGTCTCACCGATGTGGCCGACCGTGGAAGGAGGGTCGTCGAGGGAAGACGTGGCACATCGAGGGAAGACCACGAAGAGCACACATTGGGTTGGCTGCGGGTCGGTGGTTTCGGTCATATTCATCATCAACAACGTACAACAACCAACATAGTTAACATATAGAAACGAGACTCACCCAATTGATCATCAAAGAGCCAGGATTGAAACCTAGACTCATCCAGGTTCTTGCCGCGCCTGTCCACCAAGGTTGAAATCTGCCCTTTTTCCGCCTCAACTGTCCAGGTGCTGTGCAAATAGGTCTTCTTCGGTTCCAATCCCCAACTGTTCACTGTAGACGTCCCAAACCGTGTCATCGACCTTCTCGCACGGCGTGCCCTGCATTCGGTGGAGCTCCTCAAACTTGTCGCCCGGCACGATCCTGAGATTTTCAGCCGAAAACATCGCACGAAGCAAGACCACAGCTGGCAGGTTAACATGAAGAAGTGACGACACGAAGCTGCTTCAACAGCAAGTCACACAAACGAAGGCAGAATCTGCCCAACCATGTCGTCTCCTTGAAACACACGCGCTCTCGCACACACACGCGTGCGCACACACTCGCCTGGTGATCTTGGGGTCCACCTTGATGCCCAGGGGGTTCTCCGTCGAGTGCTGCGGGTACCAGGCGCTCACCGAGCTGGTGACCAGGCGGAAGTATTGTCGATGGGCAGCGGAGTCCAAGGCCACCGACTCGTGCGGGGTGCAATCACTCATCCAATACCTGGGCTATGGGCACATGTATAGCACGGGAGCTTGTCCCTCTTCCCGGGAGGAAAAGTCTGTTGCACCCAAAACATGAGCTTGAAAGGTGCATGATCTTAGTAGCTACGAGCTACCAAGGCATCTAGTTTGGGGGGGGCCAAAGCAACACGCATTTGTCATTTCAATGACCGTCACCTGGCACCTGAGATGCAAAGCTGGCAGTTATAAGTTACCTTAAGGATCCTTGGACCTGCACACAACTTTGAACCCTCTGCATCCTCATAAGGGACTGTCTCAGGCACCGTCAGAGTGGGGGCAGGCTCTGGCACCTGTTGGAACAATCTTGAGACAGCAATCCGTTTCTACTAATTGGATCTAATTGGTATTCTCAAGGGACCGTTGTCCACGGTCCCAAAGAGAACCGAGTCATGCGCTTTTTCCCATTGACCGAGATTCACCTTTCAACCGATCTATATATATGTATAGGTAAACAATTATAAATATATTGCCATATTATATATGCCATAAATATACCTACATGCCTGGACAATTTGTATATTCAATATATATATAATTAATACTATCTGCATGGAAATATCTGGAATAGATACAGTACATCTGGAAAGCCAATCCATGTCTTCATAAATATGGATTCCTTTCACACATTTGAGACGCAAAGGAGGCCGTTTTCGTACGCGTTTTCGCGTCCGCGCAAACGGTGCCCCCGCTGTCGCCCAGCGGCAGGGTGTCCGCCTCAGAGAACTCGCCCGGTCCCAGAACTGGACGCAAATGTTCCAAGTCACCCAGGGCGCCACAAATCCTGGGCGGCATCGCCCGTCCGACGGCCGACGTACGTGGGTGTTGCGGCCGACTTCGGGATCGATCGTGGTGGGACGGGAACAAAGACCGTGAAGAACATGGGATAAAGAAGAAACACCAAGCATATACCGTACCTGTCATTTATACGAAAGACCAGGATCTCTTCAGGGTCGTTGAAACGAAGGTTCCAAAATCTGGTGGAGCCAGCAATGCTGGAGGCGGTGTAGATCCCACCCTCGAAGCGCTTGTGGGCCCAAATGGGGTAGCCTGCGTCCTCGCTCAGCTCCGAAAGTTCTGCTTCCTCCGCCTCCGCCACCGGCGGCTCGTCCAGCTCGTAGACCGGCAGCGACGACGGAGACCCGGATGCCTCAGCGGACTCTGAAAGCTCCCCGTCGGAATGTTGCAGAAGACGTAGCCAAGGCACCTGGGAATTGGCGGTGGGGTTCGGGAATCTGGGAGAAGAAGTAAAAACATGATCCCTAGAGGGCTCCGAACGCCCCATCTCCTCAGGTGAGTAAGGTGGTATTCGACCCCCTGGCATCCACCCCAACCATCTTCTCAGGAGGTGGGCCATGGAGCCCTAGCACATGGGCCGATCCCTGCAGCCACCAAGCGGCACCTTCTTCTTCTGATATCGCTCGAAGAGACGGCCCCCCCCCCCAGCGGGCGGTGGTCAACAGCATACGCCCCTCGGACATGAGAACACCTGGCGTCTCTAAATGCAAACCTTGACGTCGTTGAGAAGCGCCAGGGCTCACATCGCTCTCCTGAACTGTGAGGAAGCCCACCTTCCCAAGTTCCTTTTTGGGCAATCGACATGCCTCAATCATGGGCCAGTAGGACTGCAAGTTGCTGGGCAAAGACTTGGGATCTCCCATGATGAAGGGCATCATATTCACATCCACTCCACTGGAGGCTGGGAACTTCACCCTGCACAAGCGCGAGAAGCCGCAGCGCTTCCATGCGCCCAGTAGCTGATGGCGATAGGCGCGCAGGGGCGGCTGCAAGAGCACCGAAAGTGTGTCGACATCGTCGGCATCCACGGCGTCGCCGACGCGATTTCCGGCTAATTCGCCTGTTTTGCCCAAAAGTCGCACCTCGAAGGGTTTCGTGGTCGAACGCTTTTCAGATTCCAACAAACCATGAGTCTAAGAATTTTAGACTACAAATCCAGGACAACATGTTGTAATTTGAAGGATAGATTCTTTTTTGGTATACATCACCCGCAATGCTGGGTGAGTGTGGGGCTAAATTTTGAATTTTGGGAATCACTCAATCACATACCTTTAAGGGGTGAGGTGTGTGTCATGAGTGAACCGACTCGTACCGTAGATTGGCAACACATGATGTCGATGATGGAGACCTACTGCTAAGGACTGTCCTCACCCCATCGTTTCCAAAGGGCAATGATGTCCCGATACTTCCTCTCTGGTCATAGCAGTTTTTTTTTTTGGGGGGGGGCAGGCAGTGTCTCATGAAATTGGTTGAAAGCCTTCTGCTTGAGGCTTGATGTGTGGTGCTACTCGCAACCTCGCATTCAAGTCACTCTCAGCTCACTTTCAAGTGAGTGAGGCAGTTCAATCATATCAACCAACTGCTCCATTGGTCTTCCAGTGGAGTCTTCCAACAGCTCTTTGGAGACCCAAAGCCCCAACCTGGAGAAGGCCTACGCCCAAAGCATAGGCTGCACGCCGCTGGAGATCCACCAAAGCCTCCTCTGCACCCACCGGTGGTGACAACGTGAGCGCTTTGCCGCTGGCGGTGTGCAACCGTGACACGACGAAGGCGGCCGCCATAGCAATCGCCAAACCGAAGGCGATGGGGAAGGGAACACGATGAGGGTGCCACAACTCGATGCCATAAATCTTAGGCGAAGCAACCTCTGGATACGAACTGAATCTGACTCGGGAGCGCAAAATTTAGCTTTCGGCCTTATTCAGTTCAATACCAACAAACAACACATTGTATAGATGACTCACCATCACAACTTGACTTTTTTGACATCGACTTGATGAAGCAAACACTATATTGTCCTATTTTGTTCTGATGGGGTGATATAGGATTGCCACCAGGATCGCCCAAACTTCCACTGACTCACTTTCTCACACCTAGCCGGGCCTAGCTGATAAATGAGTCATACAACCAAGATAAAACATGATAAAACATGTTACCAGGACTTTCGGGGAAAAACAACACATCCGAGATATTCCGAGCACCTCCCTTTTGACTGCGATGTTTTCTCCTAGCAGCCTCTACCTGCCCACCCTTGGTGGGCAAGCAAACGGAGCAGGCTCAACAGGAAGCGGTCGATCGCTTAGCGATGGTGCACTTCCAGTCTCGGCTGGGGTCAGGCTGCTTCAAGACTGGTCTGAACATGTCTAAACCAAAAGCACTGGCTCTTTCCAAAAGTGGTTCATGGTGAACATATGAAAATCCTGGCCAAAGCCAAAGCGTGCGAACTGAAGAAATCGGAAGATCCATCAAAACTACTGCCCCATTCCACGCTAAACTCTCTGGATGTCTGATCTTCGTCCCTGCACATGCGCTGTCCAACTCAGGCGGAAAAGACCATGCCATTGGGCTGTCGAGGCAGTGGGAATCGCATCGAGATTGTGTGAATCACCTGCGGCCGCCCAGGCTGAAGGTCCGGAAGAACCAAAGCTACTAGGAGCAAGAAGCTACTAGTAGCAAATAGCTACTACAGTAGCAAGGGGCATCGCTACTAGGAGCAAGAAGCTACTAGTAGCTCCTGGCATCGCTAGCAGTCGGTAAACAAGAACATCACTATTTTAGAGGAAGGCCTGCAACTAGCCAATCATCATCATCATCCACTGTTACAGGGAATCGGACACACCCAAGCCCTATAAACTCTGAGTTCCCCCTTGAGCCTGTAGAGATGTAGGGAGAAGGAGATGATCTACCATGCTTGGTGGAAGCCTCAAAAATGAGGCTCTTCAAAGCTTTCCGGACTGACTTCCCGGCACATCCACTGGATCAACCGGGAAGATTCAACATGGAACCTAACAATTTGTGAACCCTTTGATTTTAGTATCCCAAACGCTGTATGCCATATTTGCCTCGTTGGGGTGGTGCCAGGGGGGTCAGTGTAGGCATATATATATATATATATATATGGCAGTCCCAAACAGGTCGTGTTTGGGAGTTTGGGGTATGATAGTAGTAACAAGGGCATCGCTACTAGGAACAAGGGCATTACTAGTAGTAACAAGAATCTCCTAGTAGCGATGCCCCTTGCTACTAGTACCGACACGCCCAACATAGGGCCTAGGGCTATCAATGACCCTCTCAACACATCTCAACCCTCATCCACCTCCTTCTCCCTCTTCATCTCCTCGCGCATGTGCTCCGGCAAAGGGCTCCGTGGCTTCACGACGAAGGGTAACATGGCTCGCTCGCCCAGGCAGCCCACCTGGGTGTTACTGGTGACTCCTCGACGAACCCGCGTCCGGTCTGCCGAAATCTGACGAACCTGGTCCTGAGGTTCCATCGAGTGGATTTTTCTGTATGATCAAGGTCCCAAAAACATCAAAAAGCAAGGTCTTGAATGGGACTGCCATATATGCCGATCAGTTGGGGTGGTTTTGGGGGTCAATGTAGGCATATATCATATATGGCATACATGGAGTGTCTGGGAGCTATCTAGAGATGATCTGAGCGTACCGGAGCTTCAGAAGGGACTGAATGTGATAGAATTGGTGACATGACATGACTTGACCATCTTCGCACGAACTAGCCAACTGGTACATGCGCCATATTTACCAGACGATGGGGATCCCTCTGTTGATGACCCATTTCATTGGGCCAGCTCGTTCTACCCAAAGCTTGAACTAAAACTTTTGCAACCTTCCTGCCTTCCTTAGAACCAACGCTCAGGTCAGGCCAAATCGTCTTTTCGAATGAGGGATCAATCCCTGCCTCCCCTCCCAAGCGGAAATGGCATGAAATGGCCAGTCACCTATAGCCCTTCCGAACAGTGTTTTGAACACAACGGACTCTGACTCCTCAAGCTAGGCTAACGCTTCTTGTCATCTCCCTCTGCTTCCTTCCAAGCTGCTTTCTCCCAGCTATCCTCCTTCATGAAGAACCGGCCTCCTGCATTCCGGTCCCGGGTCATTGGCTCCGTTGTCGAAACCTGAGCCCTCGCGCCGGAGCTTCTCCGCCGCGCCCGCGCCACGGTGTGCGCCACGCGTGTTTCCAGGTGCCTTCGCAAGGCATCTGGGCTCAAGTTCATCAAGTCGCTCCCACCTGAATCTGTGAGGGTTTTCTGGAGATTTTGGGTTCAAAATGGTTCAAAAATGTTCAAAGGTCTTTCAGCATGTCAAATGACGGTCTGTTGCGCCTCGTCTATGGGGTTTCCCGAAAATCTCAGGGAGGCAAAGCAACAAGAGGTGAGCGTCTGATATTACATCGGTGCATGCGCTTTGCACCATAGAAACATTACAAAACTGACAAAACGCATTTATATGCAAAATCTACCCGATAGGAGTCCAAAGACTATGATTTTCCTTACATAGTCTATAGTGAAGTAAAGGAAAATCCTTTTCAGGTCCCCTATATATTCCTTCCAAAGTCTTTGACTCTCGGGGTATATATATATATACCCCGAAAAGGATTCCACAAGACTGCCGTCTATGAATCGGCCAAGCGTCTGAGCTGGGGACATGATGCACTCAAATGATGGATCTTCTTTTCTCCAGTCTTCCGGATCTTCTGAAGGCTCACTCCATTCACCAGATCTGGCGTGTTGTCCAAAGTGTAGAGGAGCCTTTCAAAGGCCCAAGGGTAGGAGTATTTCAAGGCGCCATACTGAGACCGCTTCGAGTGGGGCAACATGGCGCAGCGAGGCTCGGCTCGCACGCCCGCGGTTTCACGCCGCGCGAGCCGATTGAAAAATCGGCTCGGCTGGAAGCCCAAGAGCCCATGGAGGAGCGGATCGGATTCTGTCCACGCCAAAGGTGAGTCAGTTATGGTTCTTCGTACTTGATTTAGCAAAGGCCTCTCTTTGGGGACTCCTTGTTACTATATAGTCTATAGTAGCTTCTTGTTTCTAGTTGCGATGACCTCCAATTTGCGATGGCCTCCACGTAATAGCATCCTTGCCCGAGTAAAACGCTCCTCATTCTTTCCAACCGCCACCAGGTGATCCCCAGTGGCTGGCCACCCCACCGGTCCTGTGTAGAATCGCCAGCGCCGCTCCCCAGACGGATGCCTTTTCACAGGCGCCGATCGCTGCATTCCACCCGACGAGATCCGCCTCTGGAGAGGCGAAGCAAACTGGTGGCAGATCCCAATTCAGTGGGTTTACTATAGCCCAGATGCTCCATGGGACTGCCATAGGACTGCCGATCAGGCCAGGGGTGGTGCCAGGGGGGTCAATGCTATAGGCATATATGGCATACATGGAGTGTCTGGGATATGTCTGGGATAGGTCACTAGCCTCCCTCCAACAAACATGGAAAAGGAGAATAACAAATTGTCAGGTTGACGTTCCCAGTCATGCGATCAAAACCTGGATCTAGTTGCTAAATCCCAAATTGTGTCGCTAGTGGAGGGAATGAACAACCACCCATTCTTGCTTTCCATCGTTCGATCCATCTAACATAAAGCCTACTCCAAAGGCATTCGGGTCTCGCCACTAGCACTGCCTCGTGGCGGATCTTACACCCACCTCGGTCGGGTGGACAGGTAGGTCCGCAAAACGTCAAGAGCATCAGCTGCACTCCTGTCTTGGTCCGGCCCTGTCTTGGTCGAAGTGCGACTGTAAAAACACGTGTTCGGGGAGTCAAGGACAATTCCCCACATCAGGTCCTCACATCTGTTCCAGACCGGTTGATCATCAGACCTCTCAGAGGGTTTCTACAGACCTTAGGGTTTTTTACAGACCAGTCAGCACTCTCAGTCATTCTCCTCCTCTTCTCGCTCCCTCTCTATCCTGACATTCAGCCACTCATTTCAGTTCTCTAGATCCTGACATTCAGCACTCCAAAGGGAGAAGGCTCTTGGAATCGGAAGCTCAAGGCCTCTACCGTCGCATCCTGAAGCTGTTGTAGCAATGCCAAACCACATGGCCACTGTGCGCCACAGCGGTGGATGGCCGCATTAAAGGCTGGCAAATAGGGCTCTAGCTGCTCCTCGAAAGCTCATGGCACATGCTGCATTTCACCAAGGCGCATGGCTCGAGAATGTCCAGATGGTATGAAAACAAATCAAGTGGCTCCAAGTACCAAACGACATGAAAAAGCATGCATCGACATGAACAAACAACATACACTCGTGTCGCGCGCAACTCGTGAAGGCGGCCATTGATACCCTCTATGTTCGATCTGCGAATTCTTATCCTTGAGCATCTGTTTTAGGAAAATGCCAAAGTTACCCAAGGAAAGCGAAACATCGATCGATATCCACCATATGTCTATCTTCCGGGCTTCTGCCGAGATCGCTGATATCTTCTGAAACTGAAGGCATTTTTGGTCTAAGTGGCAACACTCGCAGAACCAAAAGCCGCCAAACCCGCCCTATCACCCTCCAAGCAACGTCCGTCCTGAAGCATCTCCTTGAGGAGCTGCAGCGACAAGGGCCACGGGGTGTCGCAGTTGATGGTTGAACTGTAGCTGATCTCCTTTGCATCTTGCTGTGTCAAACAAGAATTCAGGCTTGGCCACCCACAAACAGGAACAACAGAGGTAGGTTCGCACATGTTTGCATGACATGCGCACCATATTGCAAAGATTACTTAATATGTACCGTTTCATGATCACATTGATGATATCACACCGTTGTGAAATCCACCTTTTGGAAACATCTACCTTGCAATGATCATGAAGTCCTTTGTATAGGAGCATCTGCCTTTAACACCCTTTAACATCTCTTCACTCTACTGAAACCTCAACAGATTTGCAGAACTGGACCCAGTTCTGCTGGTCCTGATCACTGCCAGGTCTCATTGGGTACAATCGATGCAGCCAACATCTCGGCCAGAACCGCCAACGCTCTGGTCCATGCAGCACAGGCAGGGATCACCGCATTGTAAGAGATGCGATCTGGGACCACTTTCCTTGAAAAAGGACATCCCTACATCGCACACTGTGTATCAAAACACTAGTGGGTTGACCAGTACAAGGACAGCAACAACTTGCAACAAGAACCAGGACAACCAGAATCCACTCCAAGTACTTTGCCACATAATGCCACATAACTACTGCACCGCCCAGCATCATCTTCGGCGCAGCCCTCAGCAGTTGCAAGGCCCTTTGCCAGTCTTTGTGTCTTCGACAAGCCTTGATTGCGACATTCAGGTGGAAGGCGTTCACAGGCACCTCGCCAGCGCGCTGCACGGCACCGCACGGCCCACGCGTGGGAAGAGATGAAGGTGGGGCATGAGACATGTATGGATTGGGTCTATACTGTTACCAGTGGATGATGCTTAGTAAAGGCCTTGCTCAAAACTACTGATGTTGATGTTCTTGTTTACTGACTATTACAGGGAATAGGACAAACGAAATATATAGAATGGACATGAGAGTGTCACCTACTCATAGCATCTCGCAACCCCTGTAATGTTGCTGTTGTTTAATGCTTCGAATACTAATGCCATAGCCTCAGCCAATGAAAGTTGCGGGTCTTTACTAAGGTCTTGTGAACAGGCATTTGTAATTGCAACTTCCATGGTTTCGAGCACAATTCCAGCCGAAATCCTCCCCGCTGCGAAAAAGAATGGGTAGGTGCACATCTTTTTGGCCCCGAACCCCCCACTGCATCGCCAGCGCACGACGAAGATCGATGGGTCGACGACTAGGCCGATGGGTGTCCAAGGGACCTGGCTCTCTGTCATGACCTGCAGCAACTCCACCAGGGTCGCTGCATGACCCTTCTCTGCCAAGGCGTTCCTGGGTGACGGAACGCCCGACACGCCTAACGCCTTTGCACGCTGATGGGTGCCGGTTCCGTGTGTGACTGACGGTCAAGCTTCTCAAAAAGAATATCACAGGCTCAAATTCACCCCAAAGCTGCTCAAATGAAACGCGCCCGGAAAAACAATCACACACGATGCCAAAATGAAGAAACACACGAACCAAAAACAGGATCTATATAACAACCCTATAGGGATCCAACCACCTTCTCAGGCTCGGTACGACTGGAGCCTCCTGGCACCTACATAAGAGTGTCTCCTTCTTCACCGTACCTGAGAAGATTGAGAAGGTACGACTGGATCCCCAGGGCAAGAACGACGTTGCATCCCATGCGTCAGCAGCTTCGTGGCATCTTTGGGCTTCGAGCGCCAGCGCCTGAGCTCCAACGCCAAGGTGTTGGCGAGCTCCGCGCGCAGCAGCTGTGGCTCCGGTTCTCAGCGCTGCGACCCCGGGCAGGACCCCGGGGGGGTGGACCAGCTGGACTAGTGCCTCTGGGCTCAGATTAGCCTGTTGTTAGCACTGAAGGTGCTTCTGCGTCTGCAGCTGCATGATGGAATGTGGACCATGTCGGGGATTCGGGTGCGGAGGGTTATAGGGATTTCATTCCTTGATTTGGACTTGCAGCAATTGAGCCCCCAAGACCATACCAGGCAAGAGTGTCTTAAGAATCTGATACTGTAGCCGCCCCAACTGAATGCAACACCATTTCCCTCAATGTTCAACGCATGTCCTATCAATGAATCACGCCTATTCTTCACTTCGGACGTCCATTGATTTGGCTAAACAAGAGTACGGTACAACCCAAGACTTGTGATAAGCGAAGACGGGCGAATAAGACTTTTCACCCCTGCCATCACCATCCAAAGAGCCAAAACCCACCTCACCAAGGGCCCCCCACTGGCGGCCGAGAGCTTCAGGAGGGAGGAGACCTGTCATTCCCATCGAAAGCGGAGCTGGCATGCCAGCTCCAGCTTGCTGTGCCCCACCCCCTGCCTCCAGGAGATTAACCTATGGTGGAGGGGGGCATAGACTCCCTGAATCTCCCTTGAAATCACAAAAATAATACCATTTAATCCCTACAAGTCAATGACCTCATTTTAGTGGGTCTTTGGACTTGTAGGGAATGTTATATAATGCTCATGTGTTTTCCACTTCCATGATTAGTATCAAAGTCAGACTGCCGCACACATATGTAAAACGTTGTAGAACCTGTATAGGTGGCTATATAATATATATTTCACGTTCACGAACTCATTACTTTCAGAAGAAACAGTTAGACAGTTATAGACACATCAACATCACTGTCCAACACACACAACAAGAAACATCTCAGAAATTCTCAGAAGGATAACACAACATTACAAAAATGGGAATTGATATGAGTTGATGGAACAACAAACACCAAAAAAAACATATGAAGGATAACAACAACTTCGATACATGAAAAGTCTTGATGTCTCTTGTGCATCTCCCCCTACCGACACACACGTCAACACCCCAAGTCGCGCACCTTCGCCATTTTCCGCGGAAGGCGCCATGGCGCGGAAGGGCGCCCCGGTGGCTCCGTTTCGATAGGCCCAGGGGGGTGGATGGTCGACTGGGGGGGGGCAGACCGGTCGAGATGGGGCGTAGGGTAAGTCCTAGGGTAGTTACCTTGGAGTCGGTTTTGTCGTCAAGCCCATATTCATCGGGTGTACCTAGTACCCACACATGGAGTGTCTGGGGGAAGCCCTGAGGGTTTTCGGCCGATAGCCCAAAGACTCAGAGACTCGGCCGGATCCAAGCCATTCACGTTGAGACGCCGCGGTTCTGGATGTTCTGGTGTTTTTGCCGGATCCAGTGGATGATGGCTAAAGTTAAAGGTCTTTCTCTAAGATAGGAGATAATAGGAGGAATTGTTTGCCGACTATTCCAGGTCATGGGAATTGGGACTTCAAGAATATGGGTTGGTGAAAGTAGGCCGTGTCTGGCGGAATTCTTGATGTGAGGCACACTGCAAACATCTGCACATCCATTCCTTGGACGTCAGCAGTCTCTTTTGGTGATTTCAGCAGTCTCTTTGGCGACCAAAACCATTTGACCCATGTGCAGCCCATGCACGCCAGAACCATGTAGCAACAAGCTTGAACCACAACAAAAAGATTGAACTGCACCCGACTGCCTCTGACGCATGCTATCATTGCAGTTTGTTTCCGACATTTTGATTCTGCAGCCCTGGGGATTTCTGTGCACACTTGTCCTTGTTGAATTCTTGAAGTTCACTGAAGCCTGCTAGACTTATGCAATACTTCCGCATGAAATGCACCGGTCCACACGTAGCAGTAGGGCCCTTACTTACAGTGGCCACACGTGTCATGACTTCCTGAGGGAAGAACTTCCCAAGCTCCTCACTGCTGCTGGAAGAGCAACAATCACGGCAGCAACAGTGTAGAAAAACGGATGATCGCGTGCTTGTCCCCTAACTATGCTCTCTTCAAGTTGCGCACATGGTTCCCCTCAAGGAGCAGCGTTCCAAAGGCCAACGCTTCCGCAGTGGCCCAGTCGATGGTTTCCCCGTGCTCCAGATCCTGAAGATGAGGCCCGCTTTGGCCCCAAAGGATCGCTTTGGATCCTGGTAGACCGATCCTGTCGAACTCTAGACATAGAGTTGTCAATCCTATGGGTATACTCTTTTATATATAAATATCTCTTAGTTGTGCAGGTAAGGATACTCTTTGTATAACTCTATATAGTATAGACCTTGTCAAGCTCTCATGCTATGGAACGAATGATCCAACCACCCATGATATTCCAATCGAGTCTACAGTCTATAGCTGTCTTCTCAGGCAGGGAAGAGGTCCATATCTCGGGCACAAAGCCTAAGCCTTTGAATTGCAGGGCCATACAGACTGCCATCGATCTATGACATCCGCATGACATCACCAACATGCACCAACTTGTCCTCCAGTTTCTTCTTCAGCTGCCTTTTCAACCCAGGATGTGCCTGCGCGGGCCAAAGTTAAGATGCTGGAGTCTAGAGGCTGGAGATGCATACTCGATAATAGGGAGATGCCCCTACCAATGGGATTGGCTCTATGTTCCTTCCACGGGACTCTTTGGGACCCCCTCTTTTGATGCACACCCCCATACCTCTGCATCTCTCCAACCTCTTTCCTTCACCCAGAAACAGTGGTCCACCAACCTCTCGCTGAACTGACGGTTCCGTCACAGCACCCGAGGTACGGAGCGCTTACGGTGCCGACTGGTGCTGAACAACTGTTCTTGTGAGCAGAAAAAACACCTCTGTGAGCAGAAAGGACGAGAAAGAAGTGCTAAGGAGTTTAACAGCTCACAAAGAAGTTCATCGTCTTGGGGGAGAATCTGTTTGACACCTGCTATACTGTTAGCATCTCTTAGCCATGCACCAATGAAACATGGAAAAACAAAAACACATCCACGCGCCGCGAAGACTTCTGCGCCTTAAATCCCTGTGGGGTGTAGCACAGGCGCTCCCCGATCTTCCGCAGGAGCTCGATGTCCACGCCAGTAGGGTGGCTATTCGACACGTCCTCGGAGCGTTGGTCGCCCCCCCCAAGAAGGGCTGCCCCCAAAGACGACCAATGGGACTGGCATATCCCTAGGGCTCCAACCACCTGCTTGGGGTAGATGCCAGGGGGGTCGAATACCACCGAACCTGAGGATCTAGTTGGAGCCCTAGGGTATTTACCTTGCGCTGGGTTTGTAATAGGGGGTATATATTCCACACATGGAGTCTGGGTTCTGGTTGGTGGATCGGGGGGTCAACGCTGCATTCCAGTCACAGGTGTCTGGGATACAGGAACTAACCTGGTTGGTGGTTTCAACTCGAAACATATGAGTCAGTGGGTTGAAAGACCCCAAGTAGCGGTTAAACTTTACAAAATGAAACACTATATATATATATACCAGCATCCTGCGCTTTGAAGATGAAGTTGCCACACAAACACCGTCCTACATCAGACTCGGCCGCCTAGAAAGCTCATAGCGAGCTCACTTCCGACGAAACTCCCGACCCCAGCCAAACAAAAAGGCCTGTCAGGTGTCCATCTGGGTTGAACCTCCAAGACGTGTTGAATGTCCAACGGCAACTCCTTGGCTCCCTGTTTGCGAAGCGCTCCCTCCTGAGCACCAGCTAGGTAGGTTGGTTTTGATGATGATTCAACATGCTACACATGCTATGGCAAAAGTTCCCAAATGATTGTGATGCCTCTCTGCCACCCACCAGGTCTTGTCACGAAAGCCGGGCAAGCCCCACAAACCAAAGCAAAAGAGCCAGTCTTTCCAAAGAAATCGGCGCCCCAGAACATTTTGCCACAAACAAAAATACAAAAACCATCCATGTATGGAATATATAGCTACCCACATCACTACCCACATTGGGGTCACAAACGGATCACTCCACGGGGATAATGATAATGGCGTGGCTATTGTTCCAGTCCCAAACAGGTCGCGTCTGGTATCGCCTAGGATACACGAACTAAGCTGGTTGGTGGTTTCAACTCACAAAAACAACAAACGGAGCGACTCGTGGGTTCATCCCAAGTTGGTGTCTGATTTCCGTGGGTAGTTTTCATCCCAACCCAAACGCTCCATGGGGACTGGCATATATATATATATATGTATAAAAATATATATATATATAGTATAATATATGCCGACCCATTGACCCCCGCAGGCCATCCCAATGTAGGCAAATATGGCAGTCCCAGACGGGTCGTGTCTGGGCAAGTATGGCAACATCAACCTCTTCTAAAGCAGTTCTCCGAACATCAACCTGACCCGTCACCGTCCACGCCCACTGAAAACGCCGCTTGCTTCACGATGGGGCACCGTGGGGCGGACGAAGCCCTGCCACTTGGTGGCCACCTGCCATGGGTTTTGGGTCGAAGTGTTGAGGTCTTGAATGGTGTGGAGGTGGTGTTGAGGTGTTTCGGGTCGAAGTTTCACATCCGAAGAACCAAGAATAACCCTAGGGTATTCTGGACAACTGGAGGAGGACGAAGTCTCTGCCCTAGACTTCCTGGCCCACCAGTCAATAGGCTGAATCCGGAACTAACTAAGGATTTTACGCTACAAAACCAGGTCATTCCCATGTTTTTCATGGTCGAACGGAAGTCTAGGGTCTGAGCTGTTTTTGTATGTTTTTGTCCTGTTTGCGGGCCTTTCGATCCAAGAACTTGAGGGCCACGGAGGGCAACCCATCATAGCCTGTTGTTTCCTTCATGCTGTTTCTTGGGTGAACAGGTGGGAATCTCCGGCAAGCTAAAACAAGCCTTGTGCAAACTAAAAAACATACCCAACGAAAACCATACCAAAGCAGAACAAACAAACAAACAAACAAACAAACAAAAACACAACACAAGACAAGACAAGACAAAACAAAACAAAGCAAACAAACAAAGCAAGCAAACACGAGCACGGTCATCACCCTCCCAGCTCTTCACTCCAGCAAACTCCAACTGGGTGCCCGACCCATTCGGCTTCAGCACTGGGTTGGTAGCTGTCTGCTGCCTCCGACCGCGGTCGCACTCCAGGGAACAGGTGTGGATCGCGGGGTGGTGGTGCCATCCACCCTAAGGATCCTTGGACCCTCCATGGCAAGGGGTCGAAGCCTCTAGTTCACTAAGGGTGCGGATCCTTAGGGCAGATCCCATGTTCCTCAATTTGAGTGTACCGGTTTGCGTCCGGAACGCTGGAACGCTGGAACCACACTCATGCCATCACCGTTTGCGTCTCGGCCTGTCTTGGATCTGAGACCGATGGCCGCGCGGTTCCTTTTTGTCCGCGCGCGGCGTTCTGAGACTGCCCGCAGCGGGGCGTTCTGAGACTGAATGCCGCTGGCACTCAAACAAAGTGCAGTGTTCTGCAATGGGCTGAGAGACCTTGGGCGATGCCAACACCCTCAAACAAACAAACATGAAGGGAAGAACAAGTCATGGACGAAGCATGAGACATGGTCAAAATACTGAATCCATTGAATCGTTGTGCTCCAAGTCCGTGTATATGCATGAATAATCTACGCAGTTGTAATGTTATACACTGGATGACATTTAGCAATGTTGCAGCTGCACCAACTAAGCTGCAAAACAATCAACAGTCTGCAAAGGATATTGGAAATCAATCTGGCCACATAGTCGAAGTAGGGCAGCAGCTCCTTCCGGGCAACACGTGAGTCTTCTCACAGGCTTCGCACCAAACAAAGAAAAAACATCCATGCACTTTTGAAATTTGGGCGCCAGTCTGTTGCGAGTTGCTCCACCAGGTGGTCTGATCATCCTGAAGCATATTGCAAGCTTTAATGTCAAACATGTACAAAACAAACCATCAAACCTGGACGGGCTATGAGATTCTACAGGTGAAGAAATGGTGGGCAATGCCAGCTATGTTTATGGTGCCTAGCAGCTACATCCAGCTACGGGATCTCAAATTGCACTGCGAAGCGCACCTCCGCCCTTAGAAATATGTTACATCATGCACAATAAATGAAGAGCTCCCCAAATAGGCGTTGAATTCATGCGATGACTTCAGCTCGTTCGCCTGTCCGAAGCCCTCGCCCGTCCTCCTGCAAAAACCTTCGGTCTTCGTCCGCACGGGGCTCATAAGCCAACAGAAGCTGCGTGGATGAACCGATAGGGCAAAGCTGTAGAATCGTCCTCAGAAGGAGGACAGAGCGCGGAAGCTCAGGGCTTGAGCATGCTTGAGAATCCGGAGACTTGGCCACGTGCGACATGTTCGGCCAGCCAAACGAAGTCATAAGATCGACAAAATGTCATAAGCACTCATTCGTCCCAAATCGACTGGGGATGCCCTTCGGTTTCAGATGATCCTGGGCATCAACGCTAAGACCTTGAGCTTTCGGGGGAGGCCGACGTGTATTGACAGTATAGAAAAGATTAACCGCAAAACAACCTGAAACAAAGCAACAACTTAGAGGGTCATGAGGATTTCAGTATACACACCCCCAGACTGGGGTTCTGACATGTAAGAGGAGAGATCAAAAAGAGAATGAAACTCTTGCAGCACTTCCACCATCTTCAACCATGTGCATTATAAGCTATGTTTCATCACCGACCGGGCCATTGTATCACAGCGTCTCCAGTAGCAATGGTAGGGAGCCACCCTTAGTGGGATAGATCACATCAGCGGCTAGAATCACGTCGAAGCTGCCCAAATCCTTGGTAGTCGACCCGCCCTGCTTTCAGGATGAGTGCGATGTGTGGTGTTTCTTCCGGTCCTTATGATTGAAAGATTGGGTTCTCGGGCAGTGGCATGGTCAACACCCTGGAACAGGTGCCGGAGAATGATTCCTCGAGGTTCTAATCTGCTCTCGGGGCCTATCATGTGAAGGCTTCTCAACCCTGCAAATGGGTATACTTCATTGTGCCATAAAACCCTCAACAACCTCCCTTCCACCTGCATTCGTCTCAATCAACGTCCCTTCCACCCAGATGTTGGCCAACAGGTCCCACTCCGGCGCCATGTCGGGGCGGATCGGAAGATGACCGATGCCGGCTTGGATTTGCTTAAGAAACCCGAGAAGGAATAAAATTCTTAAACAATATCCCTAGGGCTCCTGGCCCACCTCCTGAGAAGATGGTTGGGGTGGGTGCCAGGGGGGTCTAACCACCGAACCTGAGGATATGGTTGGAGCCCGAGGGTGTGTATATATATATATATACACACCAGAGAGGGATTCTGCCAGTTCGGGAACACCCCACAGTTCATCATCCTAAGCAGAACCAGGCCAAGGATCTTCCGGCAAAGGGCTACCCCAAACCAGCGTCCGGGCCACACAGGTCTCCGCCAGGTCGTTCAACTGGATATTCCTCCAGGGTCGTTCGACACACACACACACACACACACCGTGCGAGGTGACGATCGGCCGGTGACATCGAATGCATCGAATGCATCGGCCGGTCGGTCGCCCGCCGTACGGCGAAGACCGCGGCGAGGGGATGGGCCGGGGAGCCCGGAATCACATCCCACAAAGGATCCCATAGACCCCCAAGAGGAAACATGAAGAAACACGGTGGTGGTTTCGACCCTGGTCATCGATGAGCAACCCGACGTGGTTTTGGGGTTCCATGTCAATCTGCTGGGGAGTGGTTGCAAAAAGGCGGTTCGCAAACTTGACACACTTGACAAACTTGAGGGGTGAAACGAGAACCTCTCCTCTGCAGAAGCTCTTGCATCTCCTCTCAGGGCGAAAGCCAATGGGAGACTGCAACTGCGAAGGAGAGATATCTAATATCTATAATGGATCTTAATTGCCAAGCTGGACTGTTTTCAACAGCAAGGCTTTCTTCACACAGAGATTACAAAGCAATTAGCAAAACCCCCCTAGCAAACAATCCAGGGGGTCTGAAGAGTATCACCCAAAACTTGGGGACATGGGAGACTGCAACTGCAAACATCCAAAAAATAAGCTAGCAACAAGCCAACCATGTCAGTGGCTCAAAAATCAGATGCTGCCACCCCAACCCCCCATGGCAAATGGAAGGAACATCAAGTAAAACCTGCTTGTTTCCGGGTCTTACTTTTTGCGCCACATCCAATATACATGCCACTGCATGATTGTCATTTGCCAGGAACACTTTCATCAAGTCAACCTCTTACAGTAGATGCACAACACCAACCATCACCCTCATTCGAGCTCGCCCAGTTCGAGCGACTCCTTCCGTTAGGTGCGACCCATCCGCTCGCGCCGGCATTCGCCTTCGTGCTCGACCTGGCGCGCCGGCATGCGCGGCCGAGGCGGCATCGGGTCCTCCAAGTCGCTCAAGACCATCTCCGCCTGCCAAAGCTTGGCTGCAGCTAAGCCCAGTAGCCCGAGCCCGGCGCCCAGCTCCAACACGCGCGCGGCCGCGTGGGGGTGAGGCCATTGTGAGGCCAGGTGAGTGGCAAAGGCGCGGCTGGAAGGCCACACTTGCCTTACAAAAAAGCGAGCAAGGCCTAGGGCATGCTTTTTGGATGAAGTTTTGATGATTTTTCTTTTGAACATTAGTCGCCTAAGTGTGGTCAAAGGCATTCTGTTTCACATGCTTGCTCTATTTTAGATATTTTTGCCGTCAGAGCAGTCTAGCTGACGAAATGATGGGCAGGAGTCTGTGATCCAATCTATTTGCCATTTCAGCTTGTGAGCGACAAACCTCTCGGACAAAATCTGCCACGGGAAGTATCTGGCAGACATGACAGTATACCTATACATGATGATGCAGTTAAGGGGCGCTCCAAGGAACATGGATGGCATTGAGCAAAGCCTGCACAGCGGCATTCAAATCTCCAAGTAACACATAAAGACTCATAGTTCTCATTATTGGCATAGTCCACCGCATCACTGCTTTTTCCTCTTCACATGTCCAAGAGGAAACCGTGAAAGACCTTGGTTTCATGATGGAGACATTCCATCGATGGCCTCAACGTCCAGCCATGGCCCAAGTCCACTTCCTCCGGATGCTCCCAGCGCCGCGCCCGCTGCCGCTGCAAACGCTCTTCATGCAGCGTCTTCAGAAGGTCTGAAGAATAGCCGCTGGACATGGGTCGTGTGAGGCGAGACACCCAAGATCTTGCAGTCAAGAGAGTGTCCTGATGAATGATATCGATTGATGAATTTAATCATAGCAAAAAATTGCACATATACACTCACATAACTTTTTGAACAAATCTTCAGGCAACATCTTACGAGTACATTCATCTTTGCTCGATCCGACCTGATTCGGGATTTGTCTCAAGCAGAAGGTCCTGGTGGGTAGGATCGCCTGATTGTGGGTTTGCCGATGTTTCTCGAGCCAGCATGTTGGGCTGATCGGCTGATATCGTGGCCATGCTGGCGGATGATATTAGATTCAACCTTTCCAAGGCACATTAAAGAACATTTAAACTCAACGCGCATGGGCTTCATCGACCTAGGTTTGGTGACTTTCTGGACTGTGACCCCCAAATCAGTTGTGGTCACATCTCACTATGAAGACCTGCAAAACCATCGCTTACACGGCCTGCACGTGCTTATGCCAACATGTGCTTATGCCAATCAGGCACCAAAGCCGAAAGTGTCTTCAGATACATCAATGGCGCCGCGGCCGCAGTCGTGGGCTTCTTCGGATAGGCCGCGAGTCGGGACATGTTCACGGAGTCCAGCTGCCAGCTGGAAGGAATTGCTGGGAAAAACGGGCGTTGCCTTCAAGGAAACCCTATTGGGGGTTGTTTTCAAAACACCTCAGCCCAACTGCAACCCAAACCAAAACCCGGATTCTAAATAACTCCTGACCAGCCGACCTCAACTAAACTCTTTTCGTGCCTTGAAGGCTGTCTCGTGTTCTTTCCAAAGGTCCTTAGCTGTCTCAGGCTCCCTCACGTCCATCTGGTGAACTGCACTGAAAACGAAACATGTGCCCTCTTGTTACTCTAGAGCTTGGCACAGCGCGTGCTTGGCTGAATGGACTTCAGGGGGAGGATGGGGAGGCGACTTTCTCTGAAAGCTGGTAAATATATAGTACGCGGGGTGTCCCCAAATCCCAGGTGTTTTTCAGGTTATCCATGGTTATCCACGTACTTCCTGGGTCGGACAAAGACTGGGATGCCTAGTCGACCTCGGAGGCGTTAGGCCAGCGACCAGTGCGCCAAGCCTGTCCCGACCCCGGTTCAAAAAGGAGTCTGTGAGGGGCAAGTGATTGTTGCAAGTGCAAGTGAAAATGGTTGGTTTGTTTTTTGGGTGAAATATGGTGAAATGTAGACTCTTGATTACAATAGACCTCCCATTTGGAAGTGTAAAAACATGTAAAAGCCTCTGCTTCCTGGGGGTATTATCAATCCAAAGTCTACATTACTTACCTCACACCGACACCGGGATGGCGAGCCATCCCGATACAGCGGAAGTTACAACGACCTGACTGAAGCCCAAACCCATCGTCTCAACGCCATCCAGGCAGCGGATTTCATGGAATCCAGCTCCTGAACCGGGCCGCCCTGTCGCTGTTCAACAGTGGATGTGTGGTCACCCGGTCTCCAACAACCGCGCCAGGTGACAGCGGAGAAAGCCCAGGTGGTGTTCTAAGTAGAATCCAGTTTGGCGTGCTGATGGAGTCTGGACCGGCGTCCTTCCCGAGCCCCCGATCTATACTTCCAGGCGTGTCCTTTTGTGAGGCGATGCTATGCTCCACCAAGCTCTTGGCGTACCTTGGCAGCTGAGCGATGCTATGCTCCGACCTCCGGAGCGATCGAAGACCCACGTCTTCGACGTGCGGAACGTGCAAACCGAGGGAAAAGAACTCCATCACCTGCCAAGCCAGGTTTACTTTCAAGAAAATGGAAGTGGTTCAGGCGTTCACTGCGTTCACCCCCCCCAAAAGAATGTCCTCAATTCAACCCCGCTGGCCACCCACACATGCCCAACCACTCCAAATCAACCTCAAGCGTGCATCTTGTGGCTGGAGTCCCTTGTTGAGCTCAGAAATGTGAGTTTTCTCCTTCGCACCACCCAGCTTGCCCGTGAGTTCATCTGCAACACCGGTGCTTGCCAAGTCACACCGCCTCTGTTCGTGGATGCTTGTTAATCTGCTTGTACAACACCGGTTGCGTGTACCTTAATCTTATTCAACGGCCAACGTCTGAACGTGCAATGGTAGCAGCAATCCACTTCTGCAAACGTGCCATGCACAAAAGGCAATGGTATAGACCAGGGCCGTGGTTGATGGACACCGGACACTTCTTAAGCTTAGCGGCCCTGGTACAATCTAGAAGAGCATTTTAGATCTAACCAATGCTTTAGCAATCACGATCCCTCACTTCAACTATCTATTGTGACGACAGCTCAACTTCGAAAGCCCTCCTCGCAACTTAACTCTGCTTGCACACCGTTCCGACCAATATATCAGCGCTGCCTAGACTCTTGACTCATTCATCAACTATAGAGGTTGAAAGTTCAGGGTCATTTCTTCGTCACCCCTGCCCCGGTGGCAGGAAAGGACCATTTGGACAGCCTGAGAGGCACCAGGGAGGCAGGAAAGGACTCATTGGACTTCTTCTTTCGTCGCAAAAAACACCGGCGTTTTCGCGTTAACCGAGTGGCTCCGGCGCGTCGGTCTCGTTGTGCCCGAAACGGCGGTAGCAAATCTGAGCGCTCGGCTGGAACTCACGTGCGACAAATAGGTGTGCTACATGTGAGTTTACCCTAGGGCTCCAACCATATCCTCAGAAGGTGGTTAGACCCCCCACCCCAACCATCTTCTCAGGAGGTGGTTGGAGCCCTAGGGTTATGACACCTCTCTGGAACTCACCTGTTTTCGTAAAAGAGTCCTCCAAGAGGCCATGCCATCCAACCACGTGAATTCCTGAGAGTTATGGCTTGTGCACCTGACAGCTCCTGTGTGTATATCATACGCTTCAAGGTCTAGCCAAAATAATCCAGCCGGCATGGTATATATAAGAGTGGTCCGCACATAGATCGATTGAACTTGTGAGCTGTTTTGGAGGAGATTTGATTTGCTATCCATTCTGAAGTCACTGTGGCTAGCTACTCTGATGCAAGGGAGCCAGACTTTATGAGTGCCAAAGGGAGCAAGAATCTCCTGAGACTTCGAGGAGTCTGAGATTAAACTTCCCAAAGTGGTTCAACATCTTTCAACGGCGCCATTACCAGCTATGGTTCACTATATGGTACAATATATGGTAATATGTTGCAATATATGGGTTAAAATCATCATAGCTGAGATGTTCAATATATGGTTCACTTGCTACGATCCATCACTCAGCTACCTCCAGGCTGCTCAATGACCCTCACCTTGGCCACAAGTGACATACCAATTGCCACTACTTGGATTTGCTGTCCAGGAACCTGGACAAATAAACAGATATATTATCAACATGTATCAACTATTCCCCAGGTTTGGGGGATTTAACGATTTAACCGTTAGAATTTAACCAGTTCGGAAAAACATCACCTGATCCGCAGTCTGCCAGGACTATCGTCACTGACCCAGCTCGAGCTTGGAGGTGCAGCTCAGTGGCCACATCTAGAATCACCTGACAGGTCACCCGCACGCACGGACCAGTCAGCTCTCGCTGTACTGACTCTGAGCCTCCACCATGAAACCGGAACATGAAGGTGAACCGAATGGGGTGCCACCGCTCCAAAAGACATGTTTTTCAGGTTATCCACGTGCTTCCTGGGTATGTGTAAAAGATGCTTCAGTAATACGACCAGACCAAGTAGAGCTGCAGAGCGGCTACATGATCATTTTACTCCCAGATTCTCTGATAACTGTGCTTTACATTGCTTTACAAGATCTATCTCATGTGGTCCCTTGCGTCACTGTCAGAAAAAATAATCGCCTAACCACATTCAAGGAAACATCCCCTCTGATCTCCTGCTCACTATTAAAAGAAGAACTTGCACAGCAGCATCCAACCACTGGAACCGCCCACGGGGCGATCATCTGCCTTTCCAAAAACTGCTCTCCGAAACACGTCGAATCGTTTGCCCCGAACCAATGCAAAAAGAGAAGACAAGTCGAACTCCCCTCCCTCTTTTTGGCCACCACATCCTCCTCCCACCACCTAGTCGACGCGACGGCGAAGCTTTTGTTCCCCACACGTCGGGCTGATCGCCATCGAACCCACCCAAAAACAACCAATGGGACTGGCTACACTATGGGAGCCATGTTCGCTACGTTCGGAACCCGGGCATCGCTACTTACTCGGAGCGTTCGGACGCTACGAACGGGGCTCCTGGCCTTACTAGCGGACGCTACGAACGAGGGTCGAGGGTCTACATGGACTCCCCTGGCACCACCCCTAGGCCTTCCTCTCTCGGGCGTCACCGATGGCGGACCAAGACCCGAGGCACATCGGTCTGCCAATGTTGACGCCACTCCGCGGCCAACTCAAAGGCACTGATCACGGCCACGGGGTCATCGCCATTCACCTAGAGGGGTCTGGGGTCGAGTTGAATGCTGGGCCGAGTTGCTTGCGATGGAGGAGGAGGAGAAAAAGGATCTGTGCTGTTTTGGGGGGACATGTGCCATGAATAAATAAACGAAATCTATATAATAACTTAATAGTTGATTGAATATCGACTGAGAGGTGAACAGGTGGATGGGCCTACAAATGAGTGTCCATCTGGGATTGGCCCAGATTTTTGGGGAACTGGACTGGACGGTGACGGTGACAAGACTCTGGGCAGGATGTTAGTTGCCTGCGTACATTTACAGAGATTCCAATTTACAGTAGACAGTAGAACTGAAAGGAATGGATGGTTTGAACAAACAGAAACAATCCTTCTGAAGAATATCCGCTGGCTGCAAGGAATCCATTTCAGCATCTGACTATCATGCGACCTGCCTCCTCATGCCCTTCTGGGATGGGCACCAAGACATTCAAGGGAATTTCTGCCAAGGCACGTGCAAGATTGGAAGGTTGAAGGTCTTGCCTCATAGAAAGCATTCAAACATCAAAGAAAATGAACACGTAGGATATGGAGGGAAACTTTGTGATCTAATCTATTCAATGCAATGTGAACTCAAGAGCATCTGTCGATATCCTTGCTACAATTTGTTTCTGCACGTGCTGCGACCGGTGCTAGAACTAGACCTCACGCTGCGCTGTTGTAGAATCAAACATTTTAAGTAATAACTTAACAAACATTAAAGGTTTGTCACTGCTCACCTTGGACCTGCAAGAATAGCCCTTGACGGTGACCATGGTTTCCACGATGTCTCATGATTGCGCCTTGCAGGAAAAATGATCATCTATCCCCAATCCCTTCCAACCTCCCGCGTTTTGCTGTGTTTTGGAGCTACCCAGCCGCCCCCCACCCCACCCCATGCCGCCGATCTCATACCAACCAGCTGCCAACATCAGAGGTGTACATGGTGGATCGATCGTCCACAGGATCCGTCGTAAAGCCCACCTGAGGGATCCGTCGCGGTCCAACAGAGGTGGGTCAGAACCCCTAGGCTATCCTAGTTCGGTACCCCAGGTTTTCCGGGTCCGAACGTTCAGGTCACTGGATACCTCCGTTGGGTCGGACCAGGCGACGGCGATCGCGGTAGCGAAGAAAGCGTGATCTGTTGGGTCTGGAGAGATCGGGGATCGATCGTACGTTTTTGGTCATTAAGTGACCTGAACGTTCGGACCCATAAGGCTGGGGTGCCATAGTCAACAGTCGGGTTCTGACCCACCTAGAGGTGGCATCCTCGAAATCGGTGGCGTTGGTTGGCACACTGGTTCAATCGAGGCAACGTAGGAAACCATTGGGTTTCACAAATGGACGAACCTCCTTTCCCCTCCTTGTGTGACTTTTTCCGTGCGAAGTCTCGTCTACCGCGAAAAAAGGAAAACAACAAAAACGCGCGTCAATTCTGATATCACCGACAGCGGCCAGCAGCTGGCCAGCCCGAGCCTGATTATTGATAATCACGTGGATGGTCCCACCGACATCGAACTCCTGGGAGTTCACTGCGCTGCAGATTGACAGATGCACTGGCGAGGCTTGACCGGCCACCCCCGCCCCAAAAGAGAAAAATGAAACACTGGCAATTTGGTCATGTAGACTTTTTGAGTATAATAGCAAAACCCCCTACATGAAGACGTTGACCATCCAAGTGGAGGGGGTTATCAATCAAGAGTCTACATTAGGGCCAGCAAACTCACCTTCCTCTCATTCCAAACATCATCTGTGCCTGCTGTGTCTGCTGTGCCGCATGTGTTTGTTTTTTCATGTGCTGACTGACTCCTTGAAAATAGAAGTTTATATAACCTAGTTAACCTTCTTCTACTGTATCTGTTCGCACCCATCCCGCCTCACATCCGAAGCAACACTGCAAACACTCTGGTCGTAGCAGTGAAAGAAACACCAAACACAAAAAGCCAACGAACACCGCCGAAAACACATTTTCTATCTGTTCTATCTGTTCTACCACCATAGTGGGGTGCCACCACTCACAGAACAGGTTTTTCAGGTGATCCACGTGCTTCCTGGGTATGTGTGACATCTATGTCGACCTGCCCTTTGGGGTGGTCGTTCCAGTGCTGGATGTTCGCCGGCGAACGGTGCCCACGGCCGCTGCCCACGTCCTTCACGTGAGCCAGTTGCATGGTCTCATAAACAACTCCCTGACCAGCAAAGGAAGCATCCTGAGCCGTTTTTTGAGTCTTAAGGAGTTTGAGGGACATTTTGTCGGACGGAAATCGGTCAGCAAGAGCAACACTTCTAGTTGAAGATCCATCTCCAAAACAAGTGGTCTTTCACACTCTGTTGCAAATGTAGGCTGTGGGATTTGTATGGATCGGCGGCAGCTTTGGAGGAAAACACCAAATCACATGGCATGAAAGGAGCGTCTTCAAAACAACACTTGATGCTTGAATCCTCTCTGTGCTCCAAGAGTGCTCCACACGTGCGAGGCATTCACAAGACGATGGTACTGACTGCCGTCAAGCATCGCCATGGAAGAGAATAGGTAGAACCCGCGTGCGGGACTCAGCATCGTTGCCCAAATAGTACCTCGGCCATGGCGATGTCGGAACGGAACACTGAGGTGGTGGTCTGTGCAACCTACTGATCAGAGCTGGTTAGGCCTTGGCACTGCCCCCTCATGCTCCGTGACACGACGCCCGACCGGTCCCTCAAAAACCTCGGGATTTCAGAGGATTCGGGGCCGAACGGGTCGCGTCTGGGTGGTGCAGAAATGGTAGGATCACAAATCATGGCCGAAACGCTCGTTTCAGCTCCGTGTCTTGACACCATTCATCGAGGAATGGAGCCAGCATCGAAGGCCCCAAAACCACTATAAAAGATTCTCACCCACTGCAAGCACCGTACCCAACATATAGATCCAGTCGTACCTTGTCAGAATTAAGGTGAGGAAGGCGCGATTTCTGTCTGGTGAGATCAAATTTGGGCAAGGACACAAGTGAAGTGAGGCCTATTATGTAATTAGATGGTTGATTTAAACTAGATATGCTTTTCAAACACATAACATACTTTAAAAACAACCAAAATACTATTTCTATTTTACTAAAGCCCCCCAACCCGGAGAGGTAAGACATTGTAAGACCATCTATTCAGCCCACGACAGACCTTCTCGGACAGACTCTCGGACCTTCTCCCAGAACGTCGACGTTTCTGGACTCGGTCCGGCGGTGGTTGAATCACACGTGGTGGTGCTGAGACCAAGTGATGCAAGGGTGTTATTAGGAACCTAGGGTGTGTGTGTGTATATATACCCCTCAAGCAGGGAACCCTAAAAAAGCAAGGTTCCTCAGATTGTTCCGTCAAAAGTGATGCGAATGGAAAGAACCAGGTTTTGCACCTCCCATCCACTGAGAATGAAGCACATACATTTCTCTCTCAAATCCGGTGGATCATACCGGCTTCCGACCATGCAAAGTGTGCTGCTATGAGCCACCTTTGCAGTGTCCTTTGGACAATGAGATTCATTCGGGAAGTGACATGTCTCGATACTCTGCAGGCCTTTCCGATCAGGTCTTCATCGAGCTGCACCCCCCAAGTCATAGGGTTTAAACAATACGGTGCTAGCTCTGCCTCCCAAGAGAGGCATCGAAAAATGTGGTCAAACATATGGATCTTTGAACTCCTGGTGCAAGTTTGCTCTGGACTATTCAATCCATGTGGCCACAACAATGTTCATCCTATTTGATCCATCGTCAGCTGTGTAAAGGCCCAAGCTCAAAAACCTGGTTTTGGTGAGCTTGTTCAGAGAACCTGGTCAAGAACCAGGTTTTTGCTGAGACTGTGGGACATAACCTGGCTTTGATTTGAGAACCTTGAAAAAGTCAGGTTCCAAGAGCAGAGGGTATATATATATATATACAGTATATAATACGCACAAGATATAGAACCCAGTTGACTTCCTTTCTGATAGGAAATTTGCACATCATTCATATGTTGGAGAGTGGATCCTCCCAAATCGGAGTCACTCAGGTTCTAGCTAAGTACCCCTCTTCTATACTTCCACCTTGGGTCCACCCGTTGGTCCGGAGAAAAAACAAAAACACAAAAAAGCTCACTGAAACACCGGTCCGGTCGCTGTTTCGCTCTGGCTCGGCCCAAGGTGACCGTGTTCACCTCAGTTTTGAACGGGCATGGGTCGGTGGAGGATAGAATCACTAGACCCTAGACTTCCGTTCGACCATTCAAGCAATGGTTGACCCGGTTTTTGTAGTATAAAATCCTGAGTTGATTCGGATTCAGCCTATTAAATCAACATCAATTAGTGGTGGTTGGAAGCCTATAGCCTATAGGGTAGAGTGGTTCCAGAGTAGATGGCACGGTCAGGCCCCCCAGTTCAGTTGAGTCGTGGACAGTCATCGAATCTAACATGCAGGGGTGGTTCGGTGCCATCGAACCTCTGAAACCACTGTAAGTCACTACACTCGATGGCCCATGTCACGTCCACTCCCACTCACGTTCCATGGAAATGGACGTTCTGGGTCCAGGGAAGACCATCTTCCACAACAAACAGGTGGTGAACTCCACTTGCATGTGATGTGTTCGCCAAAGGGTTACATGGAAGTGGAACATAGGCCCCGGGAAAGCCGTGGAGAATCCTCTACTACGAACAGATGGCTTTAAACATGTCCATGTGATGTTTTGGGAATGTAAGTTTGGAGGTTTATTGCCCATCTAAAGACCTTGGAAACGTTCATTTCCCAACACCCAGAACATGTAAGAAGCCATCAAGAAGGTCAAGGTCCAGTTCTGTAGTGCCGGGCGAGCCAGTTGAAAACGCCCCAGACTTGACATGAAGGAGGGCTATTTCGAGTTGAAAGGAACTGCCTCAGAAGCTGAACAGCAATTGAGTCTCCAAATGAGCGACACCCAGTTGTCCAGACCGACGTTACGGCACTCGAACCCAGAACTGGGAGACTCCGGAACCACGTGAGGCCGGCAATCCAAAGCCAACTTTGCTGTTGGTCTTCCCTCTCTGAGCCTTTCCTAAGCGAATGGCTCGCCTCCGGGGACTCGCAGAGTACAGTTCTTCGAAGACCAAACCAATGCCCGCGATCCATGTTGATGTCAAGGGAGTGTAGACCCTGTAGATGTTGAGGATTCCCAGCAGCATGCATCCTGCCTTGAAAACCTCCACAAAGTCTGATACATAGCGTTTTCTGGCACGTCAATAACAAGCCACAGTGAAAGCGCATTCCAATATCATCCATGCAAAAAGCTCAACGCTTCTAAGAGAGCTCACGGCTCAACATGAATGACCAAATTCAAAGGGTTGCCGCACTTGTAGCACCAACTGAGCCTGATCTTGCTAGCAACTTCTATCCATCCGCTACATCCACTCCGGTCCCTTCAGAACTGCCTAACCCGCTACATCCACGACGTCTTGTTTGCCAGCCCAAGCTGCAGTCTCCAAATGGGAGGGGTTCGCTTCCAGTGTGGCCGTGATGGTGTTTCCACCCGGCAAGCTGAAGGTCTGCGCGTGGACCCGCGGCGCGTGCGACGGAGGTGGCTTTCTTGCGTTGGAACACCCGAGGCCGAACACTGATTAGGCGATGTTGAAATCACAACCTATGAAACAAAAGAGTGGTCTCCAAGTTTTGCAGGATTATCAACAAACGAGCTACGCTGCTACATGTGTAATTACACCCTATATTGACTAGAGGCACATCAGCATCCAGTCCAGAAACAGAAGTCCTCAGCATGACCTGCTTCTCTCAAGACTCTAATAGCTACACCTCTGAAGAGGCATTGTTTGGTGCCGCCCTAGAAAGACCCCACATGTTCAACCACCCCAACTGAGGACTGATGGCACCTCCAAACTCCTCGCTTTGTTCGCGCTCTAGACCTCCGCGCTCCGCGGAAGTCGAGTGAGCTCCGGTCCGGTCTCTTTCCTTCGTTCGGCACCTGGGAGGTTCCCAAGTGGTACTTCACATCCCCAGCGAAGAGCCAGTCGTCACCTTCGCTCCTAGTTCGAGCGTTGTTTCGGAGACGTCGGAAGGAGGCAGGGGTATTTGAGAGGGGAAGCCAAGGATCGGTTCAAACCCGGGGGCAAGTGGTGAGGACGTGGCGTGTTTGGCCAAACAGGCCCTTTTTGGAAGCTCAGATCAAGCCATCTTCCTGGAAAGTAAACCAAACAACATTTCCACCTGTTGCAATCTCCCATGCTAGCCATTGTGGCTAGCACATCGCTGACACTCTGGTCAGGCGACGTAAAAGAAAGAACCCGAGTGAAACCGAAAAAGCATCAAGCGAGGCAAGTCGAAAGAGGAAACGACCACGTGGCGAGGTTTTGGCCGCAGCCCTCAAGAAGAATGGTAGCGAAGGAACAAAGTTCGTCGGGTTGAAGCATTGGACGTGCGCCGAAGATCGCACCTTTCGGAAGTGCGCGTCCACATTTGTATGCTTCAGTGGCAATGTAAGTCCCTGGTACCAGCATCTGCCCAGGCTCCGACATGATGAAGACAACAGCCATTTTGAAATGTTTGGGAGCATCTTGAAATGAGGTACCAACCTCTGGAAAGCCCTGGAATTTGTGGCCCCTTCGAACAAACAGAAACAGGAGTTCAACAAAGGAGACGCCCAATGTATCATCAATTTTCCAACACAAAGACCCAAGAAACTGTTGTATGGTAAGGAAATCCGCTTCGTGGAACTTTGCACGCTTCGGAAAGGCAAAAGACCCCTGCTGCGGTTTCCACACAAAGTCATTGGGGTCCGGGTTCCATTCCCAAGAAGGGAAACGAGATTGAAGAAATTGGTCCCCTTGTTGTGAAATCTCCTCTTTCCACACTGTACCTGTTCTTATAGAACATTGATCGCCCACCAAGCGGTTCAACCGTGTGAGTTGCTCTTGGTGTGCAAACATTTGCTGTTGCAAGTAGTTGAACAACTCCGGTTTTATAGGAGTGCCACTCCAAGCATGGTGGCGTGCAATGTGGTCAGCTTGGCGATTGCGCAAGACTTGTAATTTCTGCGGGGTGTCCCCAATCCACCAATCCAAAGCTTTGGCAACCTCACCATCCAGAAATGGATGAATCCCCCCCAACACCTACTTGTTAAAGGATCTCAAGACCTGCCATGATTGATTTGATGTTTGCTTTCTGTTGTTGGCTTCAGGGGTTCAGCTGGGCAGCGAGTGGCTCCGATCCGGTGCTCCAAGAGTCTTTTCCACCAAGCTTTCGAAATCGTAGTGCGTCCCCTGCAAGGACAGGCGGACGCAGACGCCGGGTGTACCGCGCTGGCTTTGGCGTCGACCTGGGGTGGCCACCCCGAAAAACCAAACAAACATGGAGTGAGTGGTGACAGGATCTCTCATATCAACGGATCAAACCCACTATCAAGCAAGGGCCGACTCAGGGGCCCAGAATTAGCATGTCCCAAATCCCAAACGAAAGGTGGAACAGGATTCGTCTGATTGATCTCGGGACCCAGTCCCACAGGTGTTTTATTCCTTCAGAATCCTTAAGCAAAGGGCCTTTTGCCAAGGGTTCCACAACACTGGGATACTGTTGCGTGGCGATAGTGTGAATCTTTTGAGATATCGTTTGAGCTAGTGAGTTCGTGGGAAACACTGTCCAAAGTCAACTGACAGTGCTTGTCCACTGAACTCCTGCTCTGGAACCCGAGCTCCGAAAACATCTGGTTATACCCAAGCTCCGATGGCAGGCCTTGAACTCAGCGAACATCTGCACCAAAGGCTTCCGAACCACATTTGTGAGCACCTCACGGCCGAGCTGGGTCGAGCTCGGGGCCACATGTGCCCATGTCGCCAGGTCAGTTGGTAACAGAACATGAGCTTCCAAGTGGGAAAGAAGTTGTGTTGGTAAAGAATATCAGTTCCCAACACTTTTCGAATTTACATTGATCAAGAACCAAATTGTGGTCACACATTCACCAAGAGAATCTTGATACGAGTAGATTAGCATTCACTCCACATTCACGCACAAAAAAAAACAAACATACCCACCACGTCAAGGCAGGTGTCCCCATTCACAACTATCTTCTAGTGACCAAAAAGCAATCAAACCTACAGTCTTGACCCCTCATGCCACCTCCCCCCCAAAGAATAAAAAACACAAGGCCATCCAAAGATGATCACCGCCACCCTGTTGACCCAAAAGGCGTTCAATCGCCCTCGATGGGGCATTCCGAGGACGCACTCCGTCATGCCCAGCGCCGCGGCCTACAGGTGACAAAGTGACCCACAAGCAAGCGTGTCGAGGGTGCATCTTCCCTTTTTGGCCACTCAAAGGGAATCAGTGCTGAAGTTGGCGCTCTAATGGTGGAAGATAAGGGGACAAACAAAACCGCTGGCCTCTGCACCCAACGGAATGATACGGGAATGTATCTTCTGTACAACCCAAACCATCCGTGTATGGCATATATACCCATAGTGAGCCCAGATCAACCATCCTGATGTAGGTCAATAGGCCAGCCCCATGGGGGATAGTCTGCGCGAGTTTCGTTCAGCAGTTCACCCGAACTGATGCTAGCGCTGCTAGGCGAATGGTGAAGCAACCGGCAGGACACACAAACCGGAACACCTCCTTAAAAAAATAGGCCTCAAAAAGCACACTAAACATGTTGGATTGTTAGATTCTCAAGTGTAGTATTGTAGTAAAGGTCTCTAGGGCTCCAACCATCTCCTGAGAAGATGGTTGGGGTGGATTTGGGGGGTCTAACCATCTTCTGAGGATGTGGTTGGAGCCCTAGGGGGTATATATAGAAGGTGCACATCAACCATAGTGCCGATCTCTGCCATAGGTTTGCTCCCGCCCTCCTCTCTCTCACACACACTCACACGCACTTTCTCTCGTGTTCCATGCTAGGCCAGGTCCAACCATCTTGGAGCAAAGCATATGAAACGCAAAGAACAGGCTCATGCACCCGAATCTGCAGATCTCCAAAATAGAGGCTTGGGTGTCGGGCCGGGTGACCGGTAGAGCCGGGCGCTGGGATAGGTGCTAGCGTTGCTCCAAATCAGCCCCTTCTGGCGCCCCTTCTCTCCATTCCTCGTTCTGTCCTCGCTCCATCCCCACTCCCTCCTTCTCAATGGCGGCATTCACGCCTGGACGCAGGAAGACGAACGCTGGATCCAGGACGTGCTCAGAATGTGTCCAGAAGGGTTTCGATTTTTGCTCTGCAGGAGGGAGAGTCTCAACCTCTGTGGGGCGGGGTCAAATCCCACCAGCCCGGCTGGTCGAGACCAGGTGTTCAGGGGGTCTTCTGAATGGTCCTTGACCGAACCTCTGTGCCAACATGGGGGGTTTTCTCCATACCAATCGACGTTCTAGAAAAAGCACCTAGTCCGGCGAGCGAAGAAAAGGAGTACTGCAGTACTGCAGTGTCTCTTTCTTTGATTGCACACATTCACTCCCAATCTTCACTCCCCAACTGAGGCAAGAGAAAGAACTGAAGGCGAGGTCAGCTGATGCTCCAAGGAGTCTCTTTGGGACTGTGACTTCCACGTGCACCCATTAAACCTGTTCCATCGGTGTCTTCCTGGTGGTGCTCATTTCCAGGGAATTGCAGCAAAATCTTAAACCTCCAAGTGTTCAAGAATTAGTGCGTTCCTAGTCTGTTACAATGCTTGAGGCTAACTGCCCATATGTCACAAGAATTCGCAACAGCTGAATTCAGACCTCTAACTATGCTTAACTACTCCAACTGAGTTGGTAGCACCACATCACCCATTCACTCCCAATCTTCACTCCCCACACCACGTCCCAACTTTGCCCGGCCTGCGACGGCGGCTTCGCCGCCATCCACGCCAAAGCGCTTGGTGGTCTTGTACCTCAGTGCTTCCAAAAAGAAGTTCCACGTGTTGGTCTATAGAGTCTATAGGGTTCTGCGACCTCTGTTGGCTGGTGGTCTTGGGTGCAGAAAGAATGTCTTGATCCTGGCTGAGGTTTCTTGCTCGTGGATGGAGAGTTGGGAAAAAGGGTCGACCTGAAGATTCGGTTTCATCCCTCCAGCAGCTGAATGGCACATTAGCTCTGTAGCGGAAGCAAAGGTTCGCAATACAGATTGGGCCCAGGCCCTAGAGGCCCTAGCCCCAGCGTCTTGATATCTTGCAAATACACGAAGGTGTAGCAAAATTAAGTCAAGAGTCTGCACGTTCAAGAACTGCTCGAAGGTGTCCTGGGTGCACCAAATATTTTGACACGTGCTTCAAGGAGACAAAGGCCAGCATGGGCCAACAACATCTTTTGGGCAGGTAAACTCTTGAAAAGCACCTGTGCTCATTGGTGTTTGATTGGTTTCCCTATTCATGATACTCCTTCTGAAATCCTTCTGTCAAAGGGTGGCAAATCGTGGGTTGCATATTTATGATTTACCCGCTGGGAAGTTGAGGCCTGTTGCCTGTGACCAATTGACAATCTTCATTCATTCTCCACTCTGCACTCCAAAATAGATAAAAAATGATATGAATTTATAACGTTTTATAAGCAATGGAAGTGCCTATTTCGTTTGAAAGTGTTCCGAAGCCAAGGTTCTTGCCATCCGAGGATGCGATCCTGTCTGACCCATCATGTCACCTTTAAAAAAAGGGCCACCAAAGAATTGGTGCTGTTTTTTGTGTGTTTTTCGGGGGCCATCCCCTTATGATACACTAAAACGGACTGTATATATATATATTATACTTACATCCCTAAGCATCCCAACTTGATTGGGGCCCTCGCTCAGATAGGGCAG